CTCTTCAGCACTCAACTGCCTCTTCGGCACATCAATATTAGACATATTCTTAGTTGCTATCAACATATGATCAACATATGATAATAGATAAATCAAACATCCATCATTCAATCTCCTAAAGTAAACATAGTTATCCATCTGACTTTTCAATTAGTCCTGATTAGCCATAAAAGCATTAAAATGCTTATGCCTATGAGATTGTTTTAGCCCATATAAATATTCCTTCAATAAACAAATGTGGTCTTCCTTACCCGGAATAGCAAATTCCTTTGACTACCTCATGTAAATCCGTTCCTCCAACTCTCCATGAAGAATTGTCATTTTACATCTAGCTACTCTAACTCGAGATATTGTGCAGCAACTAAGGCAAGTAATATATGAATAGAAATTTGTCTTACCATAAGAGCAAACACATCATTGTTGTAAATGCCCTCCTACTATGTATACCCATTCGGAACAAGTCTCGCCTTATACCTCGCCGTCTCGACACCAGGAATGCCTTCCTTCTGTTTTTAGGCCTACTAGCTTCCAACAATCTTTTGGCTCTTGAGTACTTTGACCGGCTCCCATGTCTAATTTCAATGGAATGATTCCATCTCTTTGCTCACAGCCTTTAGGCATTGCGACGACTCAGAACTAGCTATTGCCTCAGAGTAAGACGGAGGCTCATATGTCTCCACCATGTCACCTATAGTCAATGCATAAGCAATATCTATATAACTATAATGTACCAGTGGTTTAATTAACCCTTCTCTGTCTGCCTGCAACTATAGTGTACTGTGGCTATGCTTGTTGTTCAATATCACCGACTTGAAGATGAGGCAGACAGAAGTATGCACTTCTTTCCGAATAGTTGTAATCTAGAGTAATCAACAGTTTTCCCCGACCATACTTCTTCATGAGTCTTTCACTTTACAGTAGATAATGGAGATTGATTAACCAAGTAACATGCCATGTTCACTACTTCGATCCAAAATTCATTGCCTAATCCTACATGTAAAAGCATGCACCGAGCTCGCTCAAGTAAAATTATGTTCTTATGTTCTACTTGCCATTTTGCTGTGGTGTCCCGAGTATTGTGCGGTGTCTCACTATCCCTTATCTCTCGTAGAACTCAGTAAAATATTTACCACATAACTCCATGTCATATTAATTTTCAGGCACTTGATTTGTTTATTTGACTGATTCTAAATCAATGCCTTAAATTTCTTAAACCGATGGAACACATCAGATTTGTGTGCTTCAGAAAGTATACCCATACCTTCCTCAAGTAGTCGTGGATAAATATCAGCATATATCGGGCACCTTCTTTTGAAGGAACTAGAGATGGGCCCTAGACATCTGAACGAATATAGCCAACCGGTTACTTGGTTGAATGAAAATGTGTAGTATATTTGATTCAGTGCTGCTTCCCGAAGATGCAGTGCTCACACAAGTCCAACTTCCCTGTCTTTTGACCCTTCAATAACCCCTCTTACTCGGTATCGTCATACCTGCCTCACTCATGTGCTCTAATCGCACATGCCATAACTGAGTCAAGTCAGAGTTTGACTGACTTGATGAAATTGTAGCAGTCACAGTCTCTCTCGGTAGATGATAGGGATAACATGCTTTCTTCCCTTTCATCACTATCATAGCACCGCGAGAGATCTTCAACACTTCACCTTGAACGGTGTACTTACACCTGATGCCATCAAGTGTCCAAGAGAAATAATATTTTTCTGGAGTTCCGATACATGCCTCACATCTGTCAATGTGTGTACCACCCCATCGTGCATCCGAATATGAACTATCCATATCCACACAAACTTGTAGGCTATATTATTCCCCGTCAGAACTCTACCACCATCTGCAGTTTGGTAAGTAGTAAATCAGTTCCTATGAGGCGTCATATGATAAGAACTCTTCAAATCTAGCACTCATTCGTCTCCTTATGAACTAGTAGTTACTCAAAAGATAGTCTTTGCATTACTAGTCCTCTCCTTAGCAACGTTTGCTGCATTGCTTGTGGCATTCTGCTTATAACCTTTATTCCTCAACTTCGGACAATCTCTCCTTATATGCCTCTCCTCGTGACACTTGAAGTACTTCATGCGTTCCTTAGACTTTTTATGACGTGACTTTGACTTGCTTTTATCTCTACTGCTACTGGACCCTCGATGTTGGTCTCTACCTTGATTCAATAGCCCTGCGCTACATTCTACGTTTCTCGCAACTTTCTCTGCCACTCTTTAAAGAATAAAACGGATTTTACCTCTTTCGAGGTAATCGTAGTACACCTTAATAGTAGTGAATTAGTAAAGTGCTCCCACAACTCTTGTAAAGAAGCTAACAACATCATGCCCTATTCTTCATCATCAAGAATTTTACCAACGTTCTTTAAATCCATCATGAGTTTAATAAACTCATCTAGGTGAGACTAATCGACGTACCTTTAGTACATCGAAACGGAAACATCCTCTTCAACATGTGTAAGCGATTATTTAAATCCTTTGTCACGTTGAGGATATGAAGCTTTGCTCACAATGCCATGGAATCCTTCTCTCAATCATCTCTATTTACACTTCACCCGATAGATTCAATAAAATTATATTTTTTGCTTTCCTCATTAGCACGTCCTTTTTGGCATCTCTCATTGTTTCGGGCGACTCATCCTTAACCTCCAACGCTTCAACCACACCTTGAGTTGTTTATAATGCCTCCATCTTGATGCTTAATAACCCAAAGTTATTCCTTCCATTAAACTTTTCACTTTTTACTTTCGCTCCAAACATAATTGCAATAACAGATTTTCAGAAAATAATCAGCCCAATTGACTATCGCTTTGGATGGCAATGTGATGCCAAAAGACTAGTTTTGACAAGCAAAACTCATTTTCTATGTCTAAAGGTGATTTGTGCCATGTGTATCAATGGCGAAAGATTGTTCAACTCTCTATCATTCCTAGGTCAAACTTAATGATTTCTTGAAAATGAGGGCCAAATTTGAGATGTCTAGAAAAAAAATTCTAGAGATTAGTCATACATTAAATCATGTTTGTAAATATTTTTAAACTTAAAATTATTGTGGTGTGAGGCATGTGGGGGTGGGGAAATTTGCATACCCTCTAGGGATGTGGATAGAGCACACTAATATGACTCCCGTGGGGCATGAGGCGTGGATGGGGTATGTCTTATAAACTCCGTCTTTAGACCTATCCTTGACTTCGGGTTTTGATCCTTGCTCGAGCTGTTGACCCAAATTTGAGACATACTCGATAATTGATGATGAAATGTTAGTTCATGTACACCAATTATCAACATTGTGCAGATCAATTTCTATGTTCTAATGTTGTTAGTGTTACTAGCTGTTAAATGACTTTCAAAAAGTAGATGTTGTGTTTTTTTTCTCAGAAAAATTGTTCAAATAGTCTTGACCCTATTTTATGGATGCCAATGCAGTCCTAAACTTTCCAATTTCGCTAATTTAGTTCTAAACATCTGCACGAAATTTCTATATAGTCCTTCTGGCCAATTTTTATAAAAAATCACTGACGTGGCACGTGGTGGCAATGACTAGACCATCACGTCAGCGATTTCCAGCGAAAATTGACTAGAAATACTTTATTAGAATTTCGTGCAAAAGTATTTGACTAAATTAGCAAAATTGAAAATTTTAAGACTGAGTAGACATTCGTACAATAGGTTAAGGATTAAGTAATTTCTTTTTCTCCTTTATTTATATATTTTCTTTGCAAAGCGTGTATAGATCTAGCGAATGGAGAATAGGCAGATATTTGTCCTGGAGGCTCGAGACATTGACTTCTTAAGAAAGCAATTAGGTCGGCAGCTCACGGATAACTCCAACGCTGCCATGGTGTGTTATTATCAGAAGTTTGGCACAAAAAACCTAATGCCTGGTATAAGACAAGGATCTACATTTTCTTTTGGGTCCAGGGACAAGGGTCAACGTTGAAACTTTTGTTTGTTTTTCTTTTAAAGGTTTGCAATGTTCGAAATGAGAAAGATGTGCTACTTCATTGGACCTCTTCCAGAAGCAAAATTTTCTATTTGTTTTTCCTCTTGGGCAACTAGAACATTTACTTCAACCATCGAAAAGTTGACTTCCATGGTCCATTCCAATGAGCTCTAGAGTTTAGATCTTATTAAATGTGCCTCACGGTCCTCTCCCTTACTGATTCACAAGTCAAAACAATGCTTGTTGAAGCCGCCAAAGACTTTCTCTGGGTACTTCTTTAAGCCACAAGTGCCATGTTGCCAAGAAAACCTGGCTGTTACTGGGAATTTTGTAGGCCCGGAATCGAAATAATCCAATTTAGAAAAGGCCAAGAATAGATAAATGAGAGGAGGAAGTTGCACCGATAGCTCGTGTTAGGTACCACCCTATGGTGGTGAAGATAGTGGAGTGCTAACCAATTAGGACCATCTGAGATTGCAGGCACTTCCTTGGGCTCACGACAACCGTCTTTGTGTCACCCTTTTTGGTTCAAATGGTGTCCATATTGCATGAGGACAAAACATCATGTATTCTCATATGTAATACTCAGCGATATTATGGCGATTACGTCTATCTGCGTGATTGATGTATGTTTTAGTAGCTAAATAGAAAGGCATACAGTTGTAAATGTACGGCCATTTTCACTAATTCATATTATGAGATTTAGAATGTTCGTGATCAAATATGCTGTTAATAAGTATGGTAAGATATTTCTTTAACAAAATCCTGATGTTAACGGCTGAATGCACCGACGATGGAAATGAAAGTCGGGTTGTCAATACACACATGCCAATCATTTAACACGATCAATTCAAAAAGATTTTTTTTCCCTTGTAATTACATCTGTGTCTCCAAATGGAAGTGAAGCATCCGAAAATTATTCTGCTGTGTTGAATGATTGGTGACAGCCCAGTGAGGTTAAGGGGGGCATCACTGTTCTGCTGCATGTGCTCTCTCTGCTCCCTCTTCTTTATTCATTTTGCTCTCCAATTCTCCTGCTCCATGCTTCCCTCTCTCTCTGTCTCTGTCTCTCTCTCTTTCTCTAGAAGAAAGTTTCATATACAGCTACAAGCTCAGCAACAGTTTCCATCTCTCTCTCTCTCTCTCTCCATGTCTTTCTCTGTTTCTTTACCTCCACAAACACCAAGAACTCTACCAGATCCTCCTCTTTCTTCTTCTTCTTCTTCTTGGTTTCGGTCGAACATGAAGCTCCGATTATTCGCTCGCCTGAGGCGGCTCCTACGCACCAAAACCGCTGGGAAGTCGCCGAAGCAATCCAGCCTCTTCGGCGTCTCGGCGAGCCGCCGTGGAATCCACAACGACGGCGATGTCGATCGCGGAGGGAGCTCCGCGGCGAGGGAAGACGGTCCGGTGGCGTTGCAGAGAGCGGTCAAGAGGGTCCACTTCGGGAGCGCGGAGGAGCGACGGGCCGCGGCCGCAGAGATCGCGAGGTTGGCGAGGGAGGACGCGAGGGCGAAGAAGCTGATGGCGGAGCTCGGGGTCGTACAGGCTCTGGTGGCCATGGTTGGAGTAAAAGGAGATGGTGCGCGACGAGGAGCGGTTCGAGCTCTCATCGAGCTTGCTGACGGAAATCACACGTAAGCAATTTCTCTTATCATATTCATGTTTTTTTTTTCCTTTTCATAACTAATTTTTCATTTTTCTTGAGCAATAAAATTTAGATAAACGAGTATTAACGAAATTCGGTATAAGCCAAATTCTACGAACAATCAATAGGATATTTACAATAAATTTTTTGTGTACTACTTATTGTAAATAAATTCTTTATAAATTGTTGCTCTTCTTATTTTTTTTTAAGTGGTGACATTAGAGCTGTAATGGAAATTTGTGGTAATAATCATTTATTGATAAATGAGCGAGGTGATCGAGTATCATATAGGTTAGTTCTACTAATGATTTGGGTAAATAGAGTCGCTCACGTGTAAGAAACACACGAAAGTTCCTATAATTTGAGATTACTCGATCGGGTTTGTCTGCCGGTACAATTTCCGGCGATTAGTACGTAATACCCCAACCCCGTTTTACGTAGATTAAGTTTCCACTAAGAGTATTCAGAGTAACTACACAATGTGTCGATCATTTTTCGGTGGGTATTGACTTATGAATCACTCGATACGGCCTCTTCCCACCATTGTGCGGCTTGAGATGTCAACAAGTAATAATGAGAAACAGATGGAGGGATATTACTTTTTATTAGGGGCACTAATGAAAGAAAATCTGTCATAGCATGATCTCACACCTCACTTAACAACTATTGTTAGGTACAAATTTCAGAGGGTCATAGACTTGCTTAGTCTAATTTAGCACTTTGGATGAATAGGTGGTGGGGCCGAGATTGGTTGAACTAACTCCTAATCCTACTGAAAATCAGGATCATTAGTTGGGATCCCATTTAAATTAACTGCTAATTAGGCTCTAGCATAAGAAAAATTACATACATAATCCTTATAATGTGACCATATTTTGCTTAATTTGCTTACTTTACTTAGGGAAAATGAAAATTTTGTGACATTTCAACCCACAAAAAGGAAGAGACATTTGAAATGATTTGGGTTTGAGTGGAGCCACATCAGAACCGTCACTCTTTGACTTTCGAGGATGAATTAAGTTGTTGATTTCACGTGGCGGTCGTTGGTCTTCTCAGGATAGGGTCTGCGAATTTTTTACTTTTGAGCCAATATACGCATCATCTAATTGCCTATTTTCACAATTGATTTAGGGAATATCATTGAAAATCTTAGGTTGCCTGATAAAAGATTAGGCAAAATAAGTTCGAGCAGCATAGATCTCAAATTTTAATTTTTGAGGAGTCGCCCTTCGATTGAAAAGGCCCACGAGATCCGTTGACCCGTCACTGGCATGTCGCGCTGGGTTCCATGATGAGGGCAGGTACAATAGAAGGTGTATCATAGTGATTAAGAAATATAAGAGACATGATGTCTGAGAAAGCCATAAACTATTGCTCTTGAGATTCAGTGCAAATTATGATCTTTGTACCATTTGAAAATTCCCATGTGTTGACCTATCTCCCTGTCTATAGATCTTAACCTGAGATTCTCGTTGACTTTACAGGCATTGTTTTTTTATGTTAATTGTCCGAGTTTGGCCCACCGCTTGATGTTCAGATGGGAAACAGATCATCTCTGTTTTGTAGACGAACTAGGCTGAGTTTCATTTCACTGAGCTGTCTTTAATGCATTGTCGCGAGTGTACATGACTAGCTTAGTAATGACTCCAAAGATGAGATCCAGAGACATATCTCGAGGCCTATCTAACGTGAAAAAACTGTATTATATACCGAATTGAAAGTATAATACCTGAAATACGAAAGGCGATTTACAGAAAGATGTTATTGATTCGTGTTGAGTGGTTGAATAAGATCCACTTTTGATCATCGGATTAGTTGCTTTAATTTATATTTTGTTTGATTGGTTCGCTTTGTGATGATCTTTGTTTTGGGCAACTAGCCTCATCCCATGATTTTGACTCCCCAATTGGCTTTTGCTCAGGAACAAGGCTCTCATGGTGGAAGCAGGAATCTTTCTGACACTGCCAAGCAACAAGGACATGGTGGACGAACAGACAAGACATGAATTCGCAGAACTGCTCTTGTCACTATCGTCCCTAAAGAACACCCACTTGCCTCCTCTGGAGTCGTCCCAGATGATACCCTTCACACTGTCCACTCTTGAATCGTCCGGCTCGAGACATGAGACCAAAGAGTCGTGCCTGGGGGCCCTGTACAACCTATCCGCGGTCCTAGAGAACGCATCGAAGCTGGCCTCGAACGGCGTGGCGGAATCGCTCTTGAGGCTGCCGTCGACGTCGAAGGGCCTGGCGGAGAAGGCCCTGGCCACGCTGGCGAACCTCGTGGTCACTTCCCTGGGGAAAAAGGCCCTTGAAGATAGCCCGATGGTGCCGGATAACTTGATCGAAGTCCTCATATGGGAAGACCAACCCAAGTGCCAAGAGATCTCGGCCCACATCCTAATGATCTTGGCTTACCAGAGCGCAGCTCAAAGATCGAAGATGGCGAAAGCAGGGATCGTCCCGGTCCTTCTCGAGGTGGCCCTGCTAGGGAGCACGCTGGCCCAGAAGAGGGCCTTGAAAATGCTCCAGTGGTTTAAAGACGAGCGACAGATGAAGATGGGCCCGCATTCGGGGCCGCAGATGGGGAGGGTCCCGATGGGCTCGCCGGTGCATTACCGGGAGGCCCAAGAAGGGAAGAAGGTGATGCGGAGGCTCGTGAAGGAGAGTCTTCACAAGAACATGGAGATGATCACAAGGAGAGCCGGTGCTGCCCCAAGTTGTTCTTCAGGGCTTAAAACCTTGGTCATTAGCACAAGCTCCAAGAGCTTACCCTATTGAAGGATCTTGAATAAGCAAAGAAGCCCCAAAAAGAACGGAAAAAGGAGACTTCATTTCTTGAATCTTGTGCAGTGCCTAGTGAAAGATGTATATCATAACGAAAATGGATGTCATATGTCCAAAATTCATGATGATTTTGTTTTTGTTGCTTAGAATTGATTCTTGATATTGGTTTTGATGACAAAGTAGGCCTCAATGCTCGAGCACGGTTGGTTTGAATACTAACACTAAGAACTGGTGAGGGGTCTAGCCATACACCACCATACGGTAGCGGCCCATAGGTCGCGTTTACCGCTAACCCTTGGGGTATCGATGTAACTTTTTTTCCATGATGACCTCGTCCTCGTTACAAGTTATGAAACTCACTCTTTTGTTTGTTATATTCTCCCATGCTTGAACAGAGAAAAGTAGTGATAAATGTATAGAATGAAAGGGAAATATTGTAAGCGACAAGTTATTGAGTCATATGGTAAAAAAGTTTACTTCTCCCTCTTTATGGTATTGGGTTCAAGCCTTGCTACGGGCATTTCAGGAGTAAAATTTTGAATGCACTAGACTGATGTGTGGAAGTGTGCTCCCATAAGATCCTTTGAGAAGGTGGATTAGTCGAGACACGCGAAAGTTGGTTCGAACTCCCACCTAATCGCGATGCATTTTGTGAGAAAAAGAGGGAAGAGAAAGAAATTTTATTATTTGTGCATTCATGTAGAGTGTGAAGGGACGTATCGAGAACCGAAACAGAACGATCACGCAGAAAACAGAGAAAATAGACGATGCACGAATTTACCCAGGTTCACCCTTTGATTAGGGCTACGTCCTGCAAAGAGATTTCACTATGTTTTCGGTTTACAGCCACTCAACATGTTACAATGATAAGAAAAACGAGCAAAATATATATATACCCCAAACGGACCCAAAACCTAAACCTATATGAAATCTCTTAATCTCGCACTATACGGGCCAGCCCAAACCCGTTGAGGTTTCGGGGGCGCTGCCCCCGAGCCCCCGCCCGCTCACCGGCGAGCGGGGCAGCCGTCCGCTCACCGGCGAGCGGGGCAGCCGTCCGCTAACCGGTTAGCGGAACCCCGTGGGGCGCGCCCGAACCCCGCCCGTCCGACCGGCAATGGGCACCCGTGTCGGGCGCCGCCTCGAACCCTCGCATTCCGCACGCATGGGTCACATGTCGTCGGACAACACTTCAGTTTCCCTAAGCTCACGTGGGCGTACCCGGTGTGAGAAACAAGGATCCCCGAAGTATTCGCCAACTCCAACATTCTCCCACTTGGTGGATACTTCGTGCAAATGAGGGCATTTCCAATATCATTCTTCTTCAATCCAATCGCAGTAGAGCACCATTCAAACTTCGCACCTGTGACGGCTTTAGTAAGGAAGTCAGAACTATTTTCTACCGTGTCGACCTTTACAAGCCGAACCTCTTTCTTCTCTACTTTTTCTCGGATGAAATGATATTGTATATCAATGTGCTTTGTGCGTGAGTGAAATGCTGGATTCTTAGCTAAATAAATAGCCACTTGATTATCACATCTCACCTCTATGGCACCTTGCTCAAAACCGAGCTCCAAGCACAACCGCCGTAACCATACGGCCTCTTTTCCAAAGATGAGTAAGAGCCATATACTCAGCCTCAGTAGAAGAAAGCGCTACCACGCTTTGCCTCCTGCTCATCCAACTCAATGCAGCACCAAACAATGTGAAAACATATCCGCTAGTGGACCGTCTACTATCAATATCTCCACCCCAATCAGCATCTACATGGCCTACGATATCAAACATGTTTCCATTCCCTGTACCTTCAAAACATAAAAAAAAATTCAAAGTTCCACGAAGATACCTGAAAACTCTTTTGATCGCATTCCAGTGTTCTCTACCTGGGTTAGACATGTATCGACTCAAGACTCCCACTGCTTGGGCTATATCCGGACGCGTGCACACCATAGCATACATCAAGCTACCCACTGCACTCGCGTATGGAATTCGGGCCATCTCTTCAGCTTCTTCATCCGTTTTTGGACATTGTTCCGCAGATAGCTTGGTCCCTAAAGGTATAGGGGTACCAACAGGCTTGCAGTCTATCATATTGAATTTCTTCAATATTTCTTTTATGTATTTCTCCTGCCCTAGCCACAGCTTCCGTTTCTCACGGTCCCTCCTAATCTGCATGCCCAAAATAAAATTTGCAGGCCCCAAGTCTTTCATTTCAAACTTTTTGGCCAGCAAACTCTTCACAGAATTCACCATCTTCACATTATTCCCGATCAACAACATATCATCCACATATAGCGTGAGAATGACAAACTGATCGCCCGTTCTCTTCACATAAACGCAATGGTCAGAATTTGAACGCACAAAATTAAGCTGGAGCATGTACGTGTCAAACTTCTGGTACCACATCCTTGGTGACTGCTTCAGCCCATATAAAGACTTTTTCAATTTGCACACCAAATTCTCCTTTCCTCTTACTTCAAAGCCTTCTGGTTGCCTCATATATATCTCCTCCTCCAAGTTCCCATGAAGGAATGCCGTCTTTACATCCATCTGTTCTACCTCAAGATCATATGCAGCTGCTATAGACAGAACAAACCGTATCGAGGTCAACTTCGCCACGGGAGAGAAAATCTCGTCATAGTCAACTCCCTCAATCTGAGAGTACCCCTTGGCTACAAGCCTAGCCTTGTACTTCTCTACAGTCCCATCCGGTTTCAGCTTTCGCTTGAACACCCATTTACACCCAATTGCCTTTCTATCCTTAGGCAATTTACACAAGCTCCATGTTTCATTTTTATCAAGCGACTGCATCTCATCTATCATTGCGAGCTCCCACTGATTCGCATCATCCATAGATCTCGCCTCTTTTACAGAACTAGGATCATCTCCGGTAATGCTCAAAGCATGAAACGTACTTAAAGCACTAAGTGAGTATCGAAGTGGTACCTTTCTTTCCCGCGTCGATCTCCTGAGAGCCGGCATGCTATCTGTATCCAGGTCTTCATCTGAATCTGCATCCTCGACTTCATTAACCGAGTCCCCTTGCTCCGATTCAGAATCAGACTCTACTAGCGTGCCTTGTGGAACCATCTCCACAGTTTCAGTTTTAGGACTTTCTTCGAGCACTACCACTTTCTTGGGCTCATCACCTTTCTGTGTGCCAACCTGGGGTTGTGATTCACGAAAGACAAAATCCTTGCTGTATACAATGGTCTTTGATTCTGGATTCCACAGCTTATAGCCCTTGACCCCTTCCTTGTATCCGACAAATATGTTCTTCTCAGACTTGTTGTCAAGCTTGCCCCGCTTCTCCTTGGGTACATGAACATATGCGTCACACCCGAACACCCGAACATGGGACAGATTCGGCTTCTTCCCAAACACTGCCTCATATGGTGTACGATCCTTCACCGATGAGGTCGGTGACCAGGTTCTTCAAATAACCGGGCCGTGGCTACGCCTTACGCCCAAAATTCGTCCCCCAAACACCGCCTAACTCGAGATGCATCTTGCCTTTTCTATGAGTGACCGATTTAATCTTTCGGCTACCCCATTCTGTTGAGGCGTATATGGAGTCGTCTTCTGCCTTGCAATACCATTATCCACACAAAATTGCTCGAACTTATCCGAACAGAATTCACCTCCGTTATCTGTACGAAGGACCTTGATTTTCCTGCCCAATTGGTTTTCAACCAAAACCTTAAATTCTCGAAATTTCTCGAATACATCTGATTTACTTTTAATAAAATAAATCCAACTATATCTCGAAAAATCATCTATGAATGATACATAGTACCTAGATCCTCCAATAGATGGAGTCGGAGTAGGTCCAAAGACATCGCTGTGAATCAGCTCGAGAACCTCAGTTGCTCTTGTACCAGTGTGTTGGAAGCTAACTCGGTTCTGTTTTCCATGGAGACAGTGTTCACAGAACCCGAAACCCATAGAGCATTTTGGAATTCCTTCTACCATCTGACTTGACGCTAAGGTAGACAGTCCCTTTTCACCGATATGCCCTAACCTCTGATGCCACAACATGGACGTATCATGTCCATCTTCCTTGGCCTCTTCAGAAACGAACCCGCTACCAACAGTCACTGTTTCCCCGAGCAGCTTGTATAATGTCCCGTAACGGACTCCTCGTGCAATCACAATAGAACCTCGAGTCATCTTGCACGAATCCTTATCACAGCTAAAAATAACCCCCGAATCAGCCATCGTACCGACTGATAACAAATTTCTACTCATCAAGGGTATGTGCATCACGTCTGGAATAGTCTTCACCGTGCCATTACTCATCCTCAGCTTCACCCTGCCACGCCCGACAATTTGAACTGCAGTATCATCTCCGAGCATGACATCCCCACCATTATATTGCTCATATTCACAAAACCAGTGTCTATGAGGCGTCATGTGATATGAAGCACCGGTATCGATCAACCATATATCCTTGTCTGACTGCGCCATACACGCAGCAGCCAAATACATATCTCCCGCATCGACCTCCTTTTTACCCGAGGATGATTCAGCTTCTTTCTTAAAAAGCGGCTTGTTTTTACGTCCCGCTTCACATGGCCCCACTCTTGACATTTCCAAGACTGTACCCTCCTCTCCCTACTCTTCGATCGCCCACGAGATTTGGATCCGGATCCTCTCGGATTCAGAGTCTTCTCTGCTGGCCTTCCCTTAGCCGCCAATGCCTCTTTACCGGAATTTCCCGATCCCTTTCTTCGTGTCTCCTCCGATAACAAAGCAGAACACACACTTTCATACGATAATTCCTTATCCCCACCACCGATCACCACAATCAGGTTATCCCATGAATCCGGCGAAGGAACGGAGCAGTGTTATTGCCTTATCATCATCCCGGAACTTAACACCGATTGATACGAGTTGACTAATCAATGTGTTAAAGTTATACGAGATGTGCGTAAAACGAGTCGCCCTCATGCATCCGAAGATTATACAGCCTTTTTCCTCAAAAACAACTTTATTAACCAACGACTTACTTTGATACAACTCCGGTTTCGCCATAGGTCCCCGGCCGTAGGTTCCCCATCACGTTTGTCGAATCGAGTCTGCGAGACAAAGCCGAATCAAACCCTTTGCTCTCCGATCAATCCGATTCCAGTCTTCAATCTCCTTTGGATCTGCCGGTTTGGAAGTTGAATCCGTTTCCTTCACCGCTTCCTTGCCTATCACGACACCAGGTTGCGCAGCAACAGGCCTTTCCGTTTCGATTGCCGACCAAAGATCTCGATCACAGAGAAGATCCTCCATCTTCATCTTCCACAGATCAAACCGCGTTCCGTCGAATTTTTCTATCTCAATTCGTGATCCTCCTGACATCTCGAATAAACCCTAATTCCTCGAACAACTCCGGCTCTGATACCAATTGAAGGGACGTATCGAGAACCGAAACAGAACGATCACGCAGAAAACAGAGAAAATAGACGATGCACGAATTTACCCAGGTTCACCCTTTGATTAGGGCTACGTCCTGCAAAGAGATTTCACTATGTTTTCGGTTTACAGCCACTCAACACGTTATAATGATAAGAAAAACGAGCAAAATATATATAGGCCCCAAACGGGCCCAAAACCTAAACCTATATGAAATCTCTTAATCTCGCACTATACGGGCCACCCCAAACCCGTTGAGAACAGGGGCGCCGCCCCGGAGCCCCGCCCACCACCGGCGAGCTGGAAATGCCGTGCACGACCTGGCCAATGGAACCCCGTCGGGGCGCGCGCCTGAACCCCGCCCGTGGACCGGGATCGGCAGCCGGGCACCCGTGCCTGGGGGCGCCCTCGAACCCCGCATTCCGCACGCATGGGTCACATGTCGTCGGACAACACTTCAGTTTCCCTAAGCTCACGTGGGCGTACCCGGTGTGAGAAACAAGGGTCCCCGAAGTATTTGCCAACTCCAACAGAGTGGCTTCTATTTTTCGTTTTTAATTTTTTTTGTAAATTTGCCCAAGAAATCTCGAACTGGCCTATCCAACCTAAGAATAACACGGGTTGAAGGTGACGGGCTTATCAAATATATGCATACGAAATTCGGTGCATGTGAGCTCACTTCATTTCAGTATAAACTTCATATGAGATCCGCATGATCCGATAGTTGAGATGAAGCGGGCTCAAATGTTCCGAACGCATATAAGAATAGCACGGGTTGAAGGTGACGGGCTTGTCAAATATATGCATATGAAATTCGGTGCATGTGAGCTCACTTCGTTTCAATATAAACTTCATGTGAGATCCGCATGATCCGATAGTTAAGATGAAGCGGGCTCAAATGTTCCGAACGCATACAATACCGACTTCTCCGGTGGCCACCTCTGAGCGGGCCCGAGAACAGCCTCCACGCCAGTCCGCCAGGAAGGACGCCACGCGGGCACCGCCGGCACCGACGTGGACGGTCAGGATTCCAGCGTCGGATCACGAGTCAGCAGGAGGCTCTCTTTCGCCCGAAAAGGAAGCTCACGTTTTTCACGGGCAATCCATTTCGACTCGAAGAAATTTTTCGACTTTTTTTTTTCCGGTGGTGGTTGTGGTGGTGGTGGTGGTGCGTCGCAGCTCCACAAGGATGGCGGACTGCTGCTTGGGTCCCTCGCTCTGTAACAACAAGCTCCTCCATTGGCCCACCACCCACTTCGCTCCTCCTCCTCCTCCTCCTTCGTCCTCGAGATCTCTCTGGGTGTCCATGGCATCCCCACGCTCGCAGCATTCCACTCCTGCCCCCGAGCCCCGCCCCACCCGGCCTTCCCTGCTCGTGTTCTCAGGTCTCGCTTCCTCTCCTGGCGTTCAGCGGTCCGCCCGTTGTCGTGGGTGCTGCTGCTCGATTCGGGCTTTATGTCTTTTGTTGTTGTCGCTGTTGCAGGTGGCACTGCGTTCAACGGCGTGGTCGAGGAGCTCAAGAGGCTGACGACTCGGGTCGCTCACGTTCTCCCTGTTTCCGACGATGGGGGCAGTACGGCCGAGATCGTTCGCGTTCTGGGTAACTCCGCTTCTCGAATGAATTTTGCCGTCGTTTCGGTTTGGTAGTGTGAGCCTGCGGGTTGCTGCTGTTCAATCTGTTCTGGGTTGTGGGGATTAGATGGGTGTCTCTCGGGGAGAGAGGAAATTGAGAAAGTGAGAAGGCAGAACGACACAATTGGTGTCGGCTATGAGGCTATTGCCCCCAAGATACGATGGAAAGTCACTCTGAACAGGCACCGATGATTGCTGAAGTTAATTGTAGTCAGGCAAACGACAGTCATGACTCTTCATTATACGAATTTGTAAAACACCTGTTCAAAACTCTAGCCGAAGTGCCTAGTCAAGATGAATAATGGGATATGTCCATTTAAGGCTCTTAGGCCTATTACTGAGTCCACACACTAAAGGGATACTCTTTATTGTGCACCCACTTATAAAGACTTCATCTTTCTATCATCTTTCCAATGTTGGGACTTGTTCTAATTGCTTTTAACATTACAGCTTACAGTAACAGAAATTTTGTTGGTAAATTTATGGAATGAGAGTTTATGTGAAAATCAATGTAGGTGGGCCGGCTGTGGGAGACATAAGGTCAAGGTGTCTGAGATTGTCAGATCAGAGTACTTCGGAGGCACTTTCTGTCCGAAGATTACTGGGTCATCGGTTGCCACTTGATCCAAAGCGAGCCAAGTCAGAATGGTAGTGCACTTGTCTCAGTGGTGCTTCGTGTTTAGTGTGCTTGGTTGTGAATATTTTTGCATTTTGATGACTGATTAAGCCCTTTCTCTGGCCAAAGCTTTAACTATCCAATTGAATAGTTTTGGCTGCTGAAGTTAACCAACACAGTTTTCCACCTGCTGCCTCAGGTAGATAGGCATGTAAAACGTCATAAATGGTTGTTTCTAATTGCCAATAGTATCCAAGCTTTGCTTCACTGTGCTGTGGATCCTGGTCATTAGGCTCATCATATAAGCTGCTGAAAGATTGCAGTTTGCACAGTTATGCATATGAAAGCTGTGTTTTTTTTTTTTCAATTGTCTATTAAGTATTTCATTGTGTAGTATAGACTGCTTAAATGAATCTTCAGATCTTGTTAGGTCTTACTATCTTGGGGGTGCTAGTGAGATTTATGGATCGGGAATTTGGCAGGTATGATGTTGTCGAAGGAGATCATTCTTTGTGGGATGGTGTTTCAAGACCTTATCGGGAAACGATTAGAGCTTTTCTAGTTTACTTTCAGAATGAGGTATGTTTATTCGGAGTAGTTGTGACTATGCGTCAACCCTTGCCTCTTGGTTCTGTCAATTATTGGACACCTTCCACTCAAATTCTGAACTTTTAGTCTGTATAAGTTATTCATTTAATCAATATGTTCTTATAATAGCTATGCGAATTGTTTCGTCTAATATATGTCAACAAACTCAACTCTGATTATAGACTGCCATTATATCGTGGATGTTGTCATTGTTGTATAATGCTGCACTGTGCCACCTATATCTTTGTGATTCTTCTGACTGCTACCGTTTCTCTATATACCTGTCAGTGCATTTGTTTTCTTGAATTTTAAGTGCCTTTTGATCTTCTTCAGCGGATGTATGGCTCAAAAGTGGTACATGTTTTGTTAATACAGATCCTTCGGCGTCCTAATGAATCATTTTGTTTTAGCAATGGCAGGTAACTGTTGATATTGTCCCACTGTCTATTGTGATTGCCGTTTGACTTTTTTTGAGGATACTACAGTAGACCATATCTTTGATGAGTACTTTCTAGACATTGTTGCTGATAAATTTTACAGATGTCTATGCCAACAGTAGGTATCTAGGCAAGATCATGCGGAAACTTTCTTTTTTGTGTGATGCATTGTGAGGTGAATAATGAACTTACATTTCAAGGGGTTTTCGTGCTTGAAAGACTGAAATACTTGCGGATAGCAGTTTTATCGGGGAAAGCTTTTGTGACGAATTATTATTAGCAGTTATATAGAAAATCTGACTGAAAGAGTATCACTTGAGATAATGCCATAGGAAAAATGAGCGTTTGGGAGAAATATTGGAGCCACTGCTTAGATTTACCCATGTCGTTGAATTAACCCTTTCCTGAACTTCTAAGATCAGTCTTCACTGTGTTTGAAGTTGTGAGAGCAGTTTTAAGGTTGTCCTATTAGTACCTCTCGAGTTGTTTGTCTTCACTGCTGGAGGATAGGTTTCTTACTCGACATGATATGAGATTGATCTGATGTGGTAACTATAAAACCATTGCATTACTTTTGTAGTTGTCTGAAACTAACACCTATTGCAAACACATCAAATCTGCTTTTCCATGTTGTTACTTTGCATAAATGTTTTTCTGGTACATGAAAGTTTGGCTTTCTTTTTTTATTTGGTTGAACAAAGGAAACTTTGGCATACCTATTCATCAATATCAATAATCCATGATCTTCTAGATTTACTGACTCTTTAATTCCTGCAGCATTGGGAATTTTTTCTTTGCAGGAGCTCGCATATTTTTTCAGTCTTTAGATGCTGCAATTTTCTTGTTTTCACGAGTCTCAGAGATTCCATCAGAAAGCTTAGTTCTTCCAGTGATTTCTACCAATGACAGGCTCACCCTGGGATGTGAATTATTGGTATCAGTTTCTATCTCACAACTGATGTTGTTGACCTTTGTTTGAAAATGGTTTCTTTACTCTTAATTACCTTTTGACATGATTACATGTCCAAATTAATGCTGTCTATTGGTCTGTATAAGTTATTGTCTATTATAAGATATTTGCTTTGAGATACATTGGCATTAATTTCTTGTTTCCCATTTTTGACTCTAGACTTGACACATGACTTGTTGCCAGATCTTACGTTTGGACCTTCTTCTGGTATGCGGATGCTTAATTTCCGGAAAGAAATAGAGTTGATATTTTCCCTGACATTTGTTTGTTGGCGTCATATCCTAGTTGGATAGCGCACTCTAGTTTGAGATTGTACCATCTTTCACTGGCTCTGTCGAAAATTGTCATTGATGTTTGCTCTACAATTGCGAAGAAAAGAACAATTTCTTCTTCATCTTCTTCTTAAGAAAAGAACAATTTTCCAGGGACAAAGCTTGATTTCTTCTTCTTTCTTCTCACATCATGGTGATATTTGTGCAACAACAACCCAAGGCTCATCCCATAAACTGGAGCAGTTAAATAATTCCTTTCATGCCATTGGCCCGACTCTGTATGAACTATCAAACCTTATGCAAACTCTAAGTGCTCCTTATCTTTTCTTGTTGTCTTCTATCATGTCTTTTTACGTCTTTTTTTCGCTGCTTTCGACTTGACTCTCCCATGACCAAAAAAAAAAAAGAAATTTCACTCTCCATGACATCTTCTCGATAAAGCATCCAAATGTCTTCATTTAAACATGACCACCAGCCCACCTCGAAATACATTCTTTTCATTCATATCAAGGACACATAAGCTTCTCTGAAAAAAAAATGGACACACAGGCTGGCTCATTAAAATTATAACTTATCTTCTCAATATACTTATTTAATAACATTCCTTTTTCTTTGATTTTAGTGACACAATAAGTTAATCACTTAATTGATCACGCAATGATGAATTCTGTTGCTAGAGACCTTCCCATAAAGAAGCCAGAAGTTTTGAGAACAAGGGGATGGACTAAAAACTACATTTGCTTTGTAGTTGTGCCCATATTTCAAGTAAACATGTGGATGGTTAGCATGAATATTTCTTTGTTTTATTTTAGAAGTCAAGTTTGTGCATATAATTCTTCTATTCCCAAGGTTTACTTTCACCAACTGATAGTGAGGATCATCCCATCCTTAAAGGAAGCAAAGTTTGATTATTGTGCCAGACGGTACCATGTTATACATTGATTACTTTTCATGTTGCATGTAGGATGGTACTGTCATTCGCGGTCAGAATGAAATTTCTCATCCAACCACAGGGACAATGGAACCTGTCAAGAAGGTATGTATAAAAGTGTAACTGTGGAAATATTCTCATTCAATCATTTATTTCTGCTAGTTTCACATAACAACCAGTAAATGGATTATGCTGCTTTTTGCTTGTGCATAGGAATGCTCTTCGTCTCTTGCACTTCCTTCAAGAATAAAACGAGTATTTTACTTGTCAAGAGAAGGCACAAATTCTTTGCATGAGGTAAGCACAAGCAACATTATTTGTTGTTTCACATGACATGAGATAAATGACGCTTTGATTGGTTTTTACCCGTAAAGAATACTTGTGTTGTCATTCTTGAATTGGTCTTCAAAACTAGATGTTTTTACTTTGGTCGTGAAGCTTCATCATCTCGAGTGCTTATTATTAAGTTTCTTCCTTCCTCTCCAAATTTGGTAATGGAAATGTGATCGAAACCATCTGAATAGTTTATACTTGCCATTATTTTATCAGCGTCTTTTGTATTTTCTCTCTTGAAATCCTCTTGAAGTAAGGAAAAGGTGGAGCAAGGCAATCAAGAGAAATGTAATTAACATGAATAATTTTTAATGCATGGTTATAGCAATACGAGCTCTTTCTTATGTAATAAATGCTTTCTTCGTCCTTTTCACATTTATCTGGCCCAGTACAATAATTTTAGTGTACTGCTTGCTTCAATTTAGGTTGCTGGAGGATATGCATGATAATAACATTTCTCTTACTTTTACAGTTTTGTGCTCCTAGATCAAGCACAGCTTTTTCTGGCTAGTTTTTTGGTCTTCCTGCATGAGAAACACCTTATGTTTGTAAAAATATTTTTTTTTCTCTTTACCTGCGAAAGGAATCCTAGTTCAACATTCCTTTTATGCTTTAACAGAATGAATTTTAAGTGAGTTTTTTATACCCATTTCATTATTTCATCTGGAACTTACAATGATTTAGTGATGATAGGTTTACCCCTCGGCAAATCCAGCTGTTCTGGACCAGCTGAGATCTGTTGATTGCATTGTTTATGCCATGGGATCTCTTTTCACATCAATTTGTCCTTCACTGGTAAGAATAGTGTGGCTTTGTATCTAATGAACGCTCGTCATGTTCTGGTTTTGTGAACTAGTTAATCCATAATAATCTCGACTCAACTATATTTAATACATTGGAGATTTTGTCTCTTTACTGGATATCAATGTTGTTTCCTTCCTGGACTAAGTTTTAGTTGCTGCGTGAGTGTCGATCTATTAGGACCTTTTTATTTTCTTGGAAATGTATGACCCCACAGCTTTTGCATCTTTTAATCCTGCATGATGGATATACTTTTAATTAGTGAGCTTTTGGCTATAGTTAACCTTTTGCAGCTCATGCGTCTACTTAGTAGCAATAATTTTCCTACAATGTCCTAGCAGACATTCAATGTTTAGAAACACAGTTTTTATTTCTATTTTTTGGTTGAAATTAGACCACTCTTTCTTTTCCAGGTACTATTAGGGATTGGAGAGATTATTTCTTCCCGGACATGTCCCAAGGTATCTTTCTGTCAGTTTAACTTAGTGATCTTTGTGAAAAAGAGGAATAAGGTTACAAGTGCAGCAGAAGCTCAGCTGTTGACTTGTAGCATTAGATACTGGTATGCTTGTTTAATTCTTTAGTTTAATTTAGCAAATTACCACGATAAGCTATTTGTCCTAAATTAGATGTCATTATTACTATGGTGAATGATTTCTTATTAAGCAACGTGACAATACAGTTGGAGGTGCTTGATCGTCCAGTGAAACAGGGTGCCCGAGACAAGTTGTCAGATTCACTGATGGAAATTTTTCAGCATATTTGATATACCAGATTTAATGAATATTCCAAGCACATCTATCATTTCTTTTGTTGTTAAGACACTCATTTACATTCACATGTCTGGAAAATACCTTTTCCGCTTCTTCTTAGCAGATTGTTTATTATCTGGATCTAGGTGCTACTAATGAATGGTTCCTATGATCGAGAGACAAGTGGCTTTTCTGCTTCATGCTTTGTAACTGCCATTACGGATGCCCTAAATCGGACTTACGGGAATTCCAATAATTCTCTTGAAAATCTTGTAAGTTGCATGATCCAATTACATCTTAAATTCTGTATCTAGGGTACCATAACAACTGTGGATGTGATCATACAACTCTGCCATCTTAATGCAATGTGCAGAAACAGATAGCATATTTAATTTTTTCTGGAGGTACTTCCACATTTTGAATTTAAAGATAACAATAATCCTCCCCAGCTTGCTTTATCTAGTTTTTGTACTGAAATTGAATTGTCAGTGTTTTTGCACTTTGTCTATCCGATGCTCTTGCTGCACAGACAGACCATTACATCATTTCATATTGATATTAAGGAATGCACCTTCAGTGTATATTTCTTAATCTGTTCATTTGGCCAAACGTGATTTCATTGTCTTTACTGTTTCTCTCCTCTTATCAATCAGGACTGATCTTAACTTGCAATAGACCACTTTACTTGGCTTCTAACCACTAGATACGACACATGGTTCAAGGAGCTGGAAGCCTCCTGCTTTTTTTTAAACAATACTGAAATCGTTTGTCTTAGGCTTTGTTTGGAAAGGGTGGGGAAAGAAAAACAGGAAAGGAAATTTTAAAATTTTAAAATTTTCCTCTCTTTTACTCTGACAAATTTTTCAATTTGTTCTCCACTTTCCACCTACAATTTCATCCCCTCTACTTTCTCCACCTTCCCAAACATGGCATTAGTGTCTCTGTATGATGCTGTCCTCTGATGTTGTTCATCCAAAGCTGCTTAAAATAGTTCTTGCTACTATCAATTTCGAATCGTAATAGATAAGTGCGATTATTCTAGCTGAAGTATAAGTTAGTGTGCTTTTCTGAGGATATTTTATATGAGTCACACATTTATTTTGTAAAATCTATCATGGCCACACTATAGGTATCCTTTTCAAGTATTTACCCCATGGGATAAGATTAAAATCATGTGGATGGAGAGCTAGATTACAATGATGATGCAGGGAGTAATTAAACTGTTTTTCAACTTGTCATATCTTGCAGCCGAGTCAGTACATTAATACACTTTTCGTGCCAAAAGACGGTGCAATTCCAGTGGACATTGAAAACTTGGCTGCTCATGGTATTTTAAAAGTGGTACGTATGTGGGTCTGTCAAGTCTTTTTCCATGTTTAGCATTTTAATTTGTTCATCAAACAAAAACACTCAATTGAACCTATATTTGGTCATACTTTCTGTCTGGTAGATCGGTTATCTTAATATGACACGCCTGGAATTTCTAGCAAATTTGACCATTTCATTCGTCTAATATTTGCTTTATCGACCTTTGTTGACTATACAGTGATTCAGTATATATTGGTGGGATACTGGTGATTTGGTTTCATAAAGCTACTGATCCAAATTTGAAAGAGATATGGCAGAACCATCTGACTGCCTTCTTTTGCCCCCAACTTTACCATCTTGCATGGGATACTATGTCAAAGCACCTTCTTCATGAGTCTCATGATCCATGCCTCATCCACTGTTAGACCGTCCTCGAAGCCCCATGTGATGTCCTCTTCTCATTTGTGTTTCTCGTGTTGAGGACAGCCAGTATAACCAAAGACCCGAGCAGGGATCTAATAGGCTTTGTATTGCTCCTAACTCTATCGGACTTCTTGTTCATATGTTGTATAATCTTTGCAGGTAGTTGTTGATTCCATACATGATCCAAAGGTTGGTGTTGTCTATGACCCGAAATCATTGATTCAGGCTCTTGCCAATTTGATGGGTGGATAATGAGCAGGATCGCGGCAAGGGGTTAGCTCAAGTTCATCATCTTTATAGTGTTTACTCCTTTTCATTGCCAAGTATGAGACGGGTCCGCTTTATGAGGTAGGAGAACTAATTCAAGTGGAATTTTGAATGTTTTTTCTGTGTTATTTATCGATGCTTTCCAAGCTGAAAAACTGTGTATCCGCAGGCGGCTGCTTCCCTTGTTTGTTGGTTTGAACTCAGATGTCAATACTTGGATGATAAAGGGAAATATGTGACCAGAACATCAGGTAGTCACAATTTCAGAAATATCACCAGACGAGATTGCAGACGGAGATGAGAATTTATGTATTCTTTTGCTTGTGCTGTATTATCTCGAATAGTGGCTAATTTGTTTTTCATAGACATTTATCTTTTTGCTCTTCAGTGAAAAAAAAAAGAACAAGGGCTTCACCCAGCGATGGGAGTCATTACGTTTATAACGGGGCCATTCTTATAACGAAGATAGTGATTTAAGCAACTAACTCTTTTTTATCTGTAGTTGTTTTATCAGCAGAGACAAAATATAAATTCTAGCCAAAGTGGGTTGGCTCGGCTGTTAAGGACCAAACACCCTGCACATTATGTTTAGGTTCGATTCCCGCTGCTAGCAGTCTCCTTTGGTAGTTGATTTGTAAATTCACGATTAGACCTTCTAGGCCTGTGGTATTCCCTGCCGTTGGTATGGGTAACCTCCCATTCTCCTAAACTTTCGTCTTAACGGATAAACATAAGTTCTATTTCTAGCTGAAACCAGACTCATCTGGTTGGTTTCCTCGGCATTATTGTAGCAAATACAATCTCGAAGGCGGCTGTCCTGTTAAATATTTGCACATCGATATGATCATAACTGTCCAAAAGATTGAACTTTGAGTGAAATTTTAAGCTTTGTACTGCGATTACCATTTGATGAACTTGTGCACAGCGATTTGTACGTATTTATCATTCAGAGAAAGAAAGAAAAGCACGACGCCATCACTTTTGGATTTTGTTTTAACTCCCATTTGTGGGTCGAATGATTAATGCTGTTGATAAATGATGTAGCAATTGCATATTGGCGTAACAAGTTAACTTTTTAATGCACAATTCTCACTTAATCTTGACTCAATTAAAGAACCAACCGTCTTACTTAGAAATAACTTATGGTAAAATTTCTGGACACGGTCCAACAATTTCCTTACTTCTTTATTAAAATTTATACTTGACTAATTGTCGCAACCTACCCTCGAGGGGCTGCCCTCGGGACATAAGTTTAAAGGTGTTGCTTGAAAGACTATCCGAATGATTAATCAAAAAGACGGCTCGAACACATCATCTTTTGTTCATCCAATCGGTCCATCAATTAATAGCACATGCTTTCCCAAGCTCATATCTCGCGTGACATTGGGATTTCCATTTTAAGTTCTTAACAACCTAAGTAATTCTATGACTCACCACTAACCTATTGGGATCAACTAGAAACTAATCGTGACGTAGGAGTGTCATCTCGGTTCCTATGCAACTAGAGATTCTAGGGCCAGGGATTTGTTTATGCTAACATTTCTATTAGCACCATTTTGGTACTGCTAACTTAAAAGTGTGTTAACTAAGTGGCCATGCACTCTTGATTATCATTTATGATCCTAAGGTATCAAAGTCGCTAAGTGATCATGCAAATGTATTTGTAGGTTTTCATTATGATCCTAAGCTAATCCTAACCTATTCTATGAAAGCGATAAACATCCAATTTATTGAAAGACAGTGTGATAAATAAACATCCAAATATGGAAAGCAGCTAGGTAACGGTACAAAAAGTATGCTAGTCAAGCAAATGATATACATGGCCTTGTTATAAGCCTCAAACAAATAACTTGTATAGTTGTATGTACAAGAAGACAGCCGATTTCATCAGTGAAAATTTTCTTATACATATAAAGCTTGTTCCTTGACTCCATCGAGATGAAACTACTTTTGATCTTCAAATATGTACAGGTGAATTTCAGTAATATTTTAAATTTTCAAGAAACGACGATCTCGTTAAGGCTATAAATACACTCTAAACTAATGATTTAATTTCAAAATTTCTTTCATTTCTCTTCTCTGCAATTAGGAGAAATTTCATTGATAAGAGACTAACATATAGGAATCTCAGTCCAGAAGGAGTTTTTCCATTGTGCTAAATCGATCTAAGGAAAATCTAATAGTCAGGCGATTGAAAAAGCTTGTTTCTTATTCTATCTCAATTACAACGTAATCAAACTCTTCGCAACATAAATTTTTCAAAGATGGATTAAACGGTGTGAATCGGAAAGGGTGTGCCAGCTCCCAAGAGCAGAGTATGAAACGGATTTTGATGAATCGACCTTAATGACAAGAAAGGTAACTAGCTTAAAGGAACGGTGCCAGAATTCTAGGAAACTAGTTACTTTTAACAAAAACCTCAGATGTTACTAATCTCTCTGCAAATGATTGATTTCTTATTCTCTTACAACCTAAGCATAGATAAACATAAGCAAGTTTCCTGAGGGACAAAGGGGCCTGATTTCAGAGCCTAGATCAAGTAATGCAAAGAACAAACTCCCAAATGATAATTGCAGAATCAGATAAGGGTCATTGCAGATATAAGGACACATTCCACCGATGCCCACCTGATTTCTAATAGACATAAGATAAGATGCGATGAAATTCGATTAAAATGAATAAACTAATAATAAATCTTTGAGGCACAACGGATGTAATGGACTTATTGATTACCCTCAATATGTATCTATAAACCTAAGTTCAAGAACATACTGTCCTTGATTGGAGAGTCACAATACTATAATCCTAAGTTTCAGGAATAAACTAAATCAAATACAAAACATTTTGCAGAGTACCAAGAAAGTATAAGTTATTCATGTTGAGAACAGAGATGTACAGTCATGGCCAAATTAAGCTTGGGACAAAGCCGCTTTGTACTGAGGTGCTACTTGACTCAACATCTCTAACTATTAATCTGAAAGTTAGGGGTGATTAGGTTCAGCATGGGTCGCTTCTCACCTTGATACCGGACCAAGCAGGATCGGTTCCTAGTTTGTGGAATCGGGAACCAGCCTACCCGGTCCCGTTCCAGGGCTGAACCCGACCGACCGCTTTGGTTCAGTTCCAAGGTCGGTCTCTGGTTTCTTTTATTGTTTACAAGTGGAGTTTTTCCGACATTAAAAGAAAAAAAAAATTTACTAATTATGATGTGCTGCAGGATAAGAAATAAAACAAAATTGAAATCTTGGTCGGTCCGACCGGTCCCATCAATCCGGTTCCTTATGTGGGGGAACCGGACTGGTCTCCCTAGGAACCATGCGAAATTGGCCGGTTTAGTCCGGTCCAGTCTGGTTCCAGGTTGTACCGGGATTGATGCACACCCCTATTAGAAGTGAACTTTTTCATTCTTTTTTTATCATATGTTTTTCTTTGGTGTTTTGGCGAAATTGTCATCCATTTTTTTGTTATTCACTTTAAAGCTCTTATGTGTTGAGGTGTGATTCATACTTCCCTTCGACAAGAAGGCACGAGGTTCTGCACCATCAACAAGTGCAATGAGTCAGTTATAGGTTAATGGAAATTAAATGTAGATTCTCATATTAAGGGAAAGAGAAGATAAAAAAAAAGGAAGTCAAAATTCCAACAAAACCCAATCCACTTAAAGTGAAACAAGCGTACGTCATCAAGTACAAGCATTCAAACCCTCCGTCATATATAATATAAGCTAATACTAAATAATAGATATGAGGAAATAAATAAATGACTAACACTAATTGCAAAACCTCCAGCACCATTAATGCATAAAAATCCCTTTATGTTTTTTTTTTTTTGGTAACCGAAGATCCGCTACCATTCTCTGGGGACGAGCCCGCATAGGTAATCGGGGCGCCTATACCTCGGGGAGACTAGCCTAGTAACCCACTTGCCGGGCCCCTACTTAAATTACGGAATCGAGCGGGATTCGAACCCGAGCCTCTCGAGGGAAGGAAAGCGCTCACCAACTCGGCCATGCGCAGATGGGTAAAATCCCCTTATGTTTTTTTTTTTTTTTTTTTTTTGGTAACTCAGGGAACCCCCGCACGGCCGACAGCCGGGAGTAAACCCGGGGCGACACGTGCTAGCCACCACACACGTGCCACCGGTTAAGTCATCTTGCGGCGCCCGGGATTCGAACACTCAACCTTTTGCGAGAGGAAGAGTGCGCGCTCCAAAGTGCGCCACACCGTGCGGGTGGTTGTAAAATCCCCTTATGTTTATATAGGTTAATGCCAAGAACACTGAATTATAGGGAAATTAAATGGCAAACTATGTAGACGAAATCCAAATGGAAAGAGATCACTTCCAAAGGAAAAGCTTCAGGTGAAAGTTTGACAGAGTTTTCACATATCTGGACCGCCTTCGCTTCGTGTTCCATGTCTTTCTAATGCTTGAATTCCCTCCAACAGTTACTAGAATTCACGTGCCTTCTTCATTAAGTGCTCTCAAGCTCCGTTGATTTCCTCCATTTCCCACGATCTTAGCAGCTTCCATGCTATGAAACATGTCCTATATTTTCGTCATTAGTTATTTTTAGTCCACTTACTCTTCTCTGTGACCAAATGATAAGCCAGATTGTACCGACTGTATTTGACTTGATTTTTATTATTTAGGATGGAATAAACTCCAACTGGTATGACTATATTTCGCACAAAAAAAGTTGATTTAACTTGATGAGTTTCCAGTGGGATGGCCCGATAGCATTGCCATTGGAGGCTGTGGAGGTGGCGTGGTGATGAGAGCAATGGTGGGTTGTGCATTTGTGTGGTGACCATGGAAACCGAGAGTGGCAAAGAAGTAGTGCTTTACTTCTATAAGGATGAGGATGATGGATTAATAAGGTATTCCACTTCTGATCGTGCTATATTTCACTAGCAAAATTTGTCCATTCACTAGTAATCCCATGCGAGTCAAATTGACATTTATTCTCTCCGGATGATGATATGCAGACATGAAAGTAGTGCTTCTTCTTGGTACAAGTATGACATCTATGACGAAAGTTCCATTAGTGATGGCTTTGATGAGGTATTCCACTTTTGATTTTTGCTATGTTTTCACTAGCAAATATGTCCATTCACTAAGAATGCAGAGCGAGTCTGATTAACATTTGTCTTTATGATGATAATAGTACTTCTTGGTGGTATAAGAGTGGGCCATAATACCAATTCGAAAAGCTGATTCGAAGTATTATTGCGCGGCCAAGTTGGGAAACCCATTCAATCAACTATCCATCTACATATTTCCGACTCGTTTATGATGATTCTTTGCTAACTTCGGATTATCTTAACTAGTTAGGGTTGCAAGGTTTTGTTCGAGGAGGGCAGTTCCTATAATTGATCCGAAATATTATTAAGAGAACTTCCTCTTGAGCTTTTTGAGCATCGTTGTGATTGTGAGTTGTCATCTTGCCAGTTCTTCAATTGCTGTAATCGTTATCATCGCCGGCGACGTCCATACCAATCCTACAAAACCTGGAAGTCATCCATGCAGATATGTTCTTCTAGAAAGGCCAACCTGTCATGTCATCTCCAATGTGAAATGAAAATATGATAAGGTTTCATGGGCACCCACGAAGCAATTGCCGGACATTGTTCCACGGAATAGAACATCAAACGTGGGACAAGCAACATAAGAAAAACAGAAGAAAGGGGTCCATTTAATCAAATTCAGAAAGAGAAGGTCCATGTAATGCTGTTGGAAACGAGACAAAATAAGGACCTCTGAAGTCTAAACTGGCAAGCATCGATGCTTTCACCAACAAGATGGCCCGAAAGAAAACTGAACTGCAGACAATGGTATATACGTAATGTCAAGTCTCCACTAAGTTCTTGGAAACATGGTGAAAATAGTAAACTAATCTCATGCTTCCCATCGCCAATCTGGACCATATTCCAGCATTCGATTTGTAATCTTCTGCGGGTCAACCCACGGTTTGGGGTCGACCTTCCCTCCAACACAAATCCATATTATGCCACAACTAAAGAAACTTCGTCTATATATACCCCAACTTCTCTTTTCTTCATCATCATACAAAGCCTAGGGAAATAGTTAACCGCAGTTAACCTTCTGTAATTGGTGTTGAAGCAATGGCTTTATCACTTGCAGGAAAATTCTCTCTTTGCTTGGTACTAATGTTGGCTTCACGGCCTTTGCATGCAGCGTCTCGTAATTTACCTGAAGCTTCCATTCAGCAGAAGCATGAGCAATGGATGGCTGAGCATGGACGCGTTTACGCAGACAGTGAAGAGAAGGTCAAGCGTCTAGAGATTTTTGCAGACAATTTGCGGTTCATTGAAGACTTCAACCGCGCGGGGAATCACACTTTCGAGCTGGGCTTGAACGCGTACTCGGACCGAACCAGTGAGGAATTCCTTCAATTTAGTACTGGATTGTTGTTGCCATCGACTCCCCGCCAAAAAAAGACGTCGTTCATGTATGAAAACATTACCCACATCCCCGATAGCATGGATTGGGTGGCAAAAGGAGCCGTAAATGCTATAAAAAACCAAGGTCGATGTGGTAAGAGTTAAAAAAACCTAACTTTTTGTACTTCCATCATATGCATGCGTACCCTTTTCTTATACTTGTCACGACTCAAATTTAGTGATGAAAATATTATGTTAGGAAGTAATAGAATCATATTACTGGGGTATGTATAGAATAAACTCGAATATCATCTGTAAATTTTTAGCCTTGAATCATTATTTTTCCTGCTCAAATTGCATTACGGCACTGTTGACGGATGTGCAGGCTCTTGTTGGGCTTTCTCGGCGGTAGCGGCAATAGAATCGATTACCCAGATCAAGACTGGCAAGTTACTGGAACTATCGGAGCAACAATTGGTAGACTGTACTACAGGAAACTATGGTTGCGCCGGGGGTTGGATGGACACCGCCTTCGACTACATTATACAAAATGGAGGCATCACTTCTGAAACTAACTATCCCTACAATGCATCGGACGGAATATGCCATGCTCCCACGGCATCCTCGAGCGTGGCCAAACTTGTGGGTTATGAGGATGTCCCTGCCAACAATGAGGGGGAGATCTTGAAGGCTGTGGCGATGCAACCAGTCTCAGTTGCCCTTGACGGCAGTGGGCGGGAATTCCAGTTGTACTCGAGCGGTGTTTTCAATGGGAACTGCGGCACCGCAATGTCCCACGCTGTCGCTATTGTAGGCTATGGGACAGCTGAGGATGGAACCAAATATTGGAAGATCAGGAACTCATGGGGCAAGACGTGGGGTGAAGCTGGCTACATGAAGATTCAAAGAGATTTTGCTCAACCAGAAGGATTATGTGGACTTGCCATGCATGCTTCTTATCCTGTTGTCTAATTAACAATCGATTAGGATATGCCAGTGTTGAATTGATGCGTTAATATCACGCATATGCAATGACTGTTGGGTCCTCCAGAGATTGGGATTATATGATAAAGTTATCTATCATGGAAATTTCTAAATTTATCCGTTGTTATCCATTCCAAAAGTTTAAGCCTATTTTTCAGGCCATTGACGTTGAGTTCTGGGGAGAGTTTTGATTGGCAGAACCTGATGGAAGTTTGAACAAGATTATGCTATTTTTTATTAGCAGAATCACCACAGTAATGAAATGAAACGCTTAGACAAAAACCTCATTCACGTAACGGACACTGGTGTAATTAGATGATTTAATTGCCGGTCTTTTACAAGGTCGACTTTCGGCGAATCTGTCCTATGTCTACACTTGCCATACGCGAACCGATCACTTCATCAGATATACTTAGTGGAAATTGTGGGTCTCAATGAAGAGAATTGCAATCAATGATATGCATAACCATAGTACCTATTACATTTTGCCTCTTGTAAATGATCAAAACAACAATCAAGGGCTTTTCCCCCTAGCCAAAGACTTCCTCGAACTGTTCCCTTTTGTTAAGCACAGAGATCTTTCTGAGCTCTCACCACCAGGCGATAGACGGCAGTGCGATCAGGAATTTCGTTGACACTCAAGTTGCGTTAGCAAAGGGAACTGTGGGATCGAGATGATCCACGCGGTCGTGATAGTAGGCCGAGGGACGGCTGACAATGGCACCAAATAATGGAAGATCAGGAACTTGTGGGGGAGACATGGGGTCGAAGATGGCAACGTTGAGGATTCAAAGAGATTTTGCTCAACCAGAAGGACTATGTGGATTTGCCATTTACCCTTCTTATCCTGTTGTCTAATTGACTATTGATTAGGACCTATTAGTGCTGAATTCATGAGCTACTATCGCGCTAATGCAATGACAATCGATCATTGAAGTTTATTCAAAGTTCTTTTTAAATGCTACTAGTCGAATTGCACAGACATTACACTTGCATTGCACGGGGTTCTAATTTGTTTTATTGAAGTACTGCCTAAAAGTATTAATAAGAGAAATACATGGTGATGGTTTTTCTATGAAATAATCACTCAATCTCACAAAGAATTAAATAAATTTTATCATACAACCGTGCAACACGAAAGAATTACTTCAGGATGTAAATCATGAGCAATAACACTTTGCGTGTCTTGCATGTCGGTGCCTCACACAACTCATATAACGCTTACAAGACACACAAAATAACAAAACCCGAAGAATACTATTTATAAGAGCAAACGTGACACCCCCGTCAAACTGACTCCAACATGTAAACTAGTTTCTGTGTTCACTCTTGCATCTTATAGTTATGATTGGTCAACTAATCCAATTTGGACTTTCCTTAATGTCCGATCCAAGATTGTTTGCATCATACACCCCGGACTTCATATACTGTAATTTTGGTTTAATTTTTTTTTATAGGTTCAAACTCAGGATATAATTTTAATGATAAAAAAAGAATGATAATCAATCAATTAGGAGAGAATAAAAGTGCAATCAATGACAATCGAAACAAGACAAAATAAGGACCCGAAACAAGACAAAGTAAGGACCCTTACATCAATAAGTGCCACTAGTAAAATAATAATAATATTATGAAAATGTACACTTACTTTGACCAAGGCCTTCAAATTTCCGAAAATTTCTTAAACAATAGTCATGTGGATTGTTCTTGTTGAAATCCCAATTGCTGATGAGACTTGAAACTTCATTGTCTTGAGGGATAATTACACAAATAGTTCTTAAACTTTGGTCCAATGTTCAGTGCCGTTCCTGAAATTTCAATTAGTTCAATTGTGGCCCTGGAACTTTAACTCAATGTGTAAGGTAATCCTTCAACTTTTAATTTGTTCAATATGGCTCCTGAACTTTAGTAGACGTTCAATATATTCCCTAGATTATATGAAAATGTCCAATATCATCCTTCAATTTATTCAACTTCGGAGATAATATTGAATATTATCATATAGTCAATGGACTAAATTGATATTGTACTAAAAGTTCAGGGACCACATTGATCATATTAAAAGTTTAAGGACGATATTGTACATTTGATTAAAGTTCGGGGACCACATTGAATAAATTAAAAGTTGATGGACCACATTACATATTAGACCAAAATTCAGAAACTATTTGTGTCATTTTCCCTTGCCTAGATATTGATGATGTTGCAAAACTAATGTCAGCAGATCATTAAATTCTAGAAAAACTCAGTGAAATTATAAATTAATATCTTCTTTTTATTAAATAATGTGCACAATATTCAGCATTCTGAGTTTTAATTTGTTGGTTCAATCCAAGGATAAGGGTCAACCTACACTAATACCATAGTACGTCAAAGCTACGAAAAGCTTAATCCGTAAACATGCATATATACCATTGCACGGTACTCTTTCCGTCATCATCTTCCAAGCTTAGTCAAACATTTTCATGAGCCATGGCTTCATCATTTGCAGGAAAAGTATCTCTTTGCTTAGCATTGATGTTGGGTTCTTGGGCTCTGCATGCAACGTCCCGTGCACTCCCCGAAGCTTCCATGGAGCAAAAGTTTGAGCAGTGGATCCATGAGCATGGACGCACTTACGCCGACAGTGAAGAAAAGGGCAACCGTTTCGAGATATTTGTAGACAATTTGCGGTTCATCGAAGATTTCAATCATGCCGGGAATCGCACTTTCAAGTTGGATTTGAACGCGTTCTCGGACCTAACCGCCAAGGAATTCCTCGCGATTCATACCGGCTTGTCGCTACAGCCGACTCGTAGAAATTCCCCCGGGACAATGTCGTTCCCACGTGCTGATGTCACCGACGTCCCAGATAGCATAGATTGGGTGGAGAAAGGAGCTGTGAATGCTATAAAAAACCAAGGTCCTTGTGGTAAGAGTTGCAGTTACACTATTTTTCTCACCTTCCATCGAATTCACGTGTACAATTTTCTCATTCTCGGAACGGCTTGAATCGAGTAAGACCAATAAAAATCCTGTAAGAATGCATTAGAATCACGTTATAGGGGTATGAAATAGAATAAATCTGAAGCGCATAATTGTTTAGCTATGAATCATTCAATTTCGTACTCAAATCAAATAATGATTTCATTGATGGATGTGCAGGTTGTTGCTGGGCTTTCTCAACAATTGCCGCTGTAGAATCGATTACCCAGATTAAGACTGGTAACTTGCCAGAACTATCCGAGCAACAGTTGGTCGATTGTAATAGCGGAAACTATGGTTGTAATGGTGGTTGGATGGACACTGCCTTTGAATACATAATACAAAATGGAGGCATAACCTCTGAAGCTAACTACCCATACCGAGCAACAGACGGAACATGCGACACTAGCGCAGCATCCTCGACTGTGGCCAAAATCACGGGTTACATGGAAGTACCCACCAACAATGAGGGGGAACTGTTAAATGCTGTGGCGATGCAACCGGTCTCGATCGCCCTAGATGCCAGTGGGCGGGAATTCCAGTCATACTCAAGCGGTGTCTTCAATGGAAACTGCGGGACTGCGATGACTCACGCTGTCGTCATAGTTGGGTACGGAACAACCGAGGACGGCACCAAATATTGGAAGATTAGGAATTCTTGGGGGGAGACATGGGGTGAAGCTGGCTACATGATGATTCAAAGAGATTTTGATCAACCAGAAGGGCTATGTGGACTTGCTATGCATCCTTCTTATCCTATTGTGTGAGTGACTGGTATCATCTCGTCGTTGGGAGATTCTTACCTACTTCTATCGCTATGGAACCTTCTATCTTAGCAAATATATGTGTTAATATCACGAAAATGCTCTGGTCATTGCTGTGTCCAAAGATAGTACTTATGATGAAATTATCTATAGTGGAAATTTAACTTGTCCTTGGGTGTCCATTATTAAAATGAAGAAGTCAAACTTTTCCAGGCTGTGGTGACAACTTCTGCTATTAGAATCTGATGGAATCTTGAACAAGTTTATGCTATCGTATCCCGTTCCTAGGACACAGAATGAGATGTTTAAGAATCACAGAGATCTTCTGTGCTGCCATCTTGATTGTTTGAAAGCTGGCAAACTTTTCACCGGTTGCCAATTCAACTTAAATTTCACTTACGAAACCAGCTTGAATCGTTCAATCAATGGACCTTTCTGTTAATGGGAAGCATGAACCATACCCCAACAAAGAGGTTCTTTACCTAGATAACCACAGAGGAATCGATCATGAAATACAATGAAAGACGGTCCGTAGGTTTATAGAAGCTACATCCAGCAAAGCATCAACTACATTTTGAATTACAAGATAGCTTACTCTCTATTTATAGATGAGCGTACTCTACCCAGGTAGAAGAAAATAAGTGAAGAAAAAATAATCTATTATGATCGTAGCTTACTTTTTCCCTGCTAAATCACGTAGACAAAGTACAAGCATAATGAGAGGCAGAAAACAGTAACGCTTATTCTGACTACCATATGTTTATCATGAGTATAGTCAACAAGGTATATGCTCTACTTGTGCCACTATTCAAATGAATATGAGGTATATTCTTAACATTATTCGAGAATAACCTCGTGCCATTGTTGGTCTCTAGGTACACATTACCAATGTCTGCAACTTCTGCTAGCTCATTCATCTTAACAGATCCAATGTCACCTGATTCGTACAATGTAAAGAAATCCTTACGAGATGTAGAATGAATAGATACATCACTATCAATTACGCCACTAGTCTCATGGCATACAAGATTCATTGCATCACTATCAAAGACAATTAGAAAGTCTTTTGAAAGTGTAGCAACGCAATTGTCATTGCTGTTATTATCACTTTTCCTCTCTTTTCTCTTTTTGTTTAACGGCAATACTTCTTGATATATCCTTTTGATGGCAATAATTTCACTCAACATTTGTTAATTATTGGTTTTGCTTTTGCTTTTATCTCAGTTCTTATCTCTATCTCTTGAGCATCGAGTTTCACTTCTTCCCCTTTTCTCAACGACCAAGGCTTCGGAATGTGAGAGCATCTCTATGTCTTCCTTATCATCTCTTCATTTAAAACACTATTCTTGGAATCCATGGTAATTTTGCCATCCGAGGTTGAATTAAACAAAGACATTCAAAATGTCTCCCATGAGTCTGGCAAAGTACCAAGCAACCGTAATGCTTCTATCTCACTATCAAACTTGATTCCCATCACAACTAACTGATCTATAATTCTTTGAAAATAGTTTAAATGATCAGTCAAAGGAATATCATCTTGATATCTCAAAACCCTCATTTGTTTTATAAAAAATAACTTGTTATTCCCGATCTTTCGAGTATACAATTGTTCGAACTTATTCAACAAAATGCGAGCATGTGTTTCCTCAATGATATGATTCAAAACATTATCATCCGCGCATTGCCTAATGTAACCACACACTTGACGATGAAATATTCACCATTTAGCATCAGTTTTACTCTTGTGTTTCTCATTAGCAAACACGGGCGAATAATAATCCTTCACATACATAAAGTATTTCATTTGCTCTTTCCAAACATGATAATCTGAACCATTTAACATAATCATTCTACTCCTACTTGTTTCTATCCTTTAACACAAGGTTGAAAAATTCAAGTTAGAACCAATGCTTTGATATCACTTTGTTGTGAGAACAATGACAATCTGAACAATATCAGATTAGTACAGCGAAACAAAACAATCTTCATTCTTGTGCGAACCCAATGGGAAACAACACAATAGAGTAATATATCTACTTAAATACAAATACCAAGCACCCTCAAACACAAGGCAATTTTATGTAGAAAACCTCCCCGGTGTGAGCAGATAAAAAACCAATGGACCGAAATTCACCCAAAATTTTCACTGTAAAAAAATTGTGTGAACAAAGTTCTTCTCTCGCTAATACTAGAGGAACATTGCAGCAACAATATAAAAAATACCATTTTTGGCAATACACATGAACTTCACAATAAATCAAGGATAAATCTCACTTGAATGCAAGTTCAGTGCAACCCATGAAAACCTAAAGTAGGGAGCTCCGAATGCAAAATCAAACCGATCACATTCAATAACAATGTGTCGCAAGAATGCTGACAAAATTTCAACTCAATTAGACCATGAATCGAGCTCCGAATGTCAGTTTAATAATAACCGGACAACACCCTCTTTCCCAGATTTTAAGCTCTCTCTTTCTCTCCTGCTACTGCCTCTAATTAATCATTCTTTGTTACTGCCGCATAAATGGAGAAGAACCCTATTCATTTAGGCCAAACATAGCCCCCCATTAATTTCTCTATATGAGCTATCATAAGGGTTCAAGCTTGTAGGCTTTCATTTCATTGGTTTTCCAACACTATAGGTTCAAACTCGATATATAATTGTAATAACAACGAAATAAATATAACAGTCAATTAATTAAGAAAAGGGCAATCGTTTCGAGATATTTGTAGACAATTTGCGATTCATCGAAGATTTCAATCAAATCAGGAATCGCACTTTCAAGTTGGGTTTGAACGCGTTTTTGGACCTAACCGCCGAGGAATTCCTCACGATTCATACCGAATTGTCACTGTAGCTGACTCGTAGAAATTCCCCCGGGACGATGTCGTTCCTGCGTTCTAATGTCACCGACGTCCCGGATAGCATAGATTGGGTGGAGAAAGGAGCTGTGAATGCTATAAAAAACCAAGGTCCTTGTGGTAAGAGTTGCAGTTACACTATTTTTCTCGCCTTCCATCGAATTCATGTGTACAATTTTCTCATTCTCGGAACGGCTTGAATCGAGTAAGACCAATAAAAATCATGTAAGGAAGCATTATAATCACATTATAGGGGTATGAAATAGAATAAACTAGAAGCGCATAAATGTTTAGCCATGTATCATTCAATTTCCTACTCAAATCAAATAACGACGTCATTGAGGGATGTGCAGGTTGTTGCTAGGCTTTCTCAACGATAGCGGCTGTAGAATCGATTACCTAGATCAAGATCGGTAACCTGCCGGAACTATCCGAGCAACAGTCGGTCGATTGTAACAGCAGAAACTATGGCTGTAACGGTGGTTGGATGGACAATGCCTTTGAGTATATAATACAAAATGGAGGCATAACCTCTGAAGCTAACCACCCATACCGAGCAGCAGACGGAACATGCGACACTAGCGCAGCATCCTCGACTGTGGCCAAAATCACGGGTTACATGGAAGTACCCACCAACAATGAGGGGGAACTGTTAAATGTTGTGGCGATGCAACCGGTCTCGATCGCCCTAGATGGCAGTGGGCGGGAATTCCAGTCATACTCAAGCAGCATCTTCAATGGAAACTGCGCGACTGCGATGACTCACGCCGTCGCTATAGTTGGGTACGGAATGACCGAGGACGGCACCAAATATTGGAAGATTAGGAATTCTTGGGGAGAGACATGGGGTGAAGCTGGCTACATGATGATTCAAAGAGATTTTGATCAACCAGAAGGGCTATGTGGACTTGCTATGCATCCTTCTTATCCTATTGTGTGAGCGACTAGTATCATCTTGTCGTTGGGAGATTCTTCCCTACTTCTATCGCTACGGAACCTTCTATCTTAGCAAATATATGTGTTAATATCACGAAAATGCTATGGTCATTGCTGTGTCCAAAGATTGTACTTATGATGAAATTATCTATAGTGAAAATTTAACTTGTCCATGGGTCTCCCTTAGTAAAATCAAGAAGCCAAACTTTTCCAGGCTGTGGTGACAACTTTTGTTATTAGAATCTGACGGAATCTTGAACAAGTTTATGTATCGCCTCCCATTCCTAGGACGCAGAGTGAGATGTGCAAGAGTTCCAGAGATCTTCTGTGCTGCCATCTTGATTGTTTGAAAGATAGCAAACTTTTGACCAGTTGCCAATTCAACTTGAATTTCACTTATGAACCCGGCTTGGATCGTTCAGTCAATGGACCATCATCTCTTTCATTAGATTTCTATACGCGGCAAAAACTAGACGGTAGGTATCATGCCAGCTACACACAAGGAAAAAGGTAACCAGCAACCGCCGTGATTGGTCTAGTCGGCCTTACAGCAACGGTTAGCCATGCCACTACAAGCCAACCTTTGCCGTGGCTTGGCTGGTGAGGGTTAGACAACCGTTAGCGAAGAAGTTCGCAAACCATGTTGCATTGCTCACGCAACCTTGGCTGATGAATTACATTGCAAGGTACAGGAATTTAACCTGAAATGCCGCCACAAGGGCTATATAGAAGAATACCAATATCTTATCTATTGTGTTGCCTATGCGACACCAACTGCGCATCACCTAATTGTTCCCGCCAGATGACGCGACATTAGCATTTTGACAGAAGAAATAAGACAGGTGAGGTGATGGAAGGGTCAGCATCACACAAATGGAGAATATTAAGAGGCTCTAAACCTAGATAATTACAGAGGAATCGATCATGAAATACAATGAAAGGCGGTCGCCAGGTTCATAGAAGCTACATCCAGCAAACCATCAACTACATTCTGAAATACAAGATAGCTTAATCTCTATTTATAGAAGAGCGTGCTCTTCCCAGGTAGAGGAAAATAAGTGACGAAAAATAATCTATGATGATTGTAGCTTATTTTTCCCCCGTGAAATCACATAGAGAAAGCACAAGCACAATGAGAGGCAGAAAACAGTAACACTTGATCTGAACTACCATCCGTTTATCATGAGTAAAGTCAGCAAGGATAATATATGTAATAAAGATGGGAGGTTCTAATCGCTCATATATTTTGGTCAACGAAAACTTCATTTAAAGCAAAGAGAACATGATCCTAACAGAGTTTCTGAAAACTACTGTCTATCCATGCATATCTATGGATCTAAGCATTAACTACCTCATATGTGTATATAGATATCTTTGAACTCATGGAATTATTACTTTGAACTGTCTTTCGTCTTGTCGTGCAGGTAAACACGCAATTCGTTCTTAAATGGTACAACCAGTAAAGTTAGAACACATTCTGCAGATGGATTATGGCTAAAAAGCTCACATTGGAAGTAGAAAAATGAGACAGGAAGAACTGTCCTAGATGTAAAAATGAAATCCACAACAAGGTTTACATGTCAACTCATTCTTGAGAGTTGAGACAACCACCATATTTCAGTGCTATCAGCACAAAATTATAACAATGATAAACCACAAGCAAAGGCTCGATCGCTTAGACAATCTGCCTTTTTCAAAGGATTCCTCCTACTTTGTGAAAGAATATATGCAACGGGAAAAATAGATTCATGAATTGATTAAAAGGAAAAACAGAAAGTACCTAGAAATGTGGTGTACCCTACGTTTAAAATCGACATGGGATGACAGCGTGAAAACTAAATATGCAGAACAAAAATATTTTATAGCCTTACCATGTCAAACAAGCAAAATTGTTTCCGAGAGGTAAGCAATTCACCAACTAAATTCAACCCAAACAAAGACTTCACAGACAGTTAAATTACACCATACCAAAGATGGAAGTTCGTGGAATTGGGCAAGAACATAGAAAGACATATGTTCTCAAAGATCTTAAAACCTAGAGAATCACAACAAAAATGATCTCAACTGCTTAGGCAAAAAACAAATTCAATGTGATGACATGCTTATGTAACTTTCTCATTGTAAAAGGAAAAGAAGACTCATGTAATTGACTATGGAATAATTAGATTACTTGATAATCAATAGTCTTTAATAAGGTCAACTTTTAACAGAGCTGTTTAAATGGGGCCACTTCTGCTATGTGAAGTGGATTGCTTCAATGCGGATCTACTTAATTAAACTAGTGGATCTCAATGAAGAAAACTTGCAATCAATAATCACAAGGGATTCCAAAAATGTCCAAAAGTGTCATCTGCCAAACAATGGTACATGTTGCATTTACCTCTTGTAAATGATCAAACAACAATCAAGAACGTTTGCCGCTATTCGAATTTGACTTGGTGCAAAGGACCCATCGTCCCTTGGCACGTCTGCGCTTCAAAATTGCTCTTCCGCTCGTAGTTCTCATCCTCCTGCGAAAGCCATGGGTCCGAGCCAGAGATTTCCTCGACCTGTTCCTTTTTGTTTGGCAAAGTGCAGCCTTCCCAGCTCTCACCACCAGGCCACGGCGTTTCTCCGTGGTGGTTCCAACAGGAAAGTTAAAGTTCAAAGTCAAGGACGAACCTGGAAATTGAAATCCATATATAAGGGAAGGCACAGATCATTTTCTTCCTTCTTTCCGTCATCAATGAGCTGAATCCAATAATATATCATTTTCCAAGATCGAAGGAAGAACGAAATATATTTCCAAAAGGAATAGCATCCATTATCTAAAAAAACATATGAACCACGCTTCTGACCACAGTAAGAGGAACACGGGAAAGCATGGTGCGCAAAAGGCTTCAAAGTAGAATTCCTATTGATTCCCAAACACAGGAGCTCGTGCACGCAATTGAGGGTTGAGAACGCAGACTCCGAAGGCTAATAAAGTTTTACTACAAGTGAGGCCACTCTGTCGGGTTTTACTGTGAAAACATGCTTACCCAGCAGATATTACACATTACACATTAAAACTCTCTGCACTCTGGAGGCCCCATCACTGTAAAGTGTGAAATTGCAAAGAGAAGGACTTGTTCGACGTACTTCGCTCGGCGCCCAATCTAATTTAACGAGTCCATTAACTACACCCACAAAGACCATTAAAGCACCAAACGATCTCTCTAGCAAGTTCTTGGCAAAGTACAAACCCCACTCGAGAGCAAACCTCACTCTTAAACCCCAAGCTGATCGACAGGATCCTTCAACACCCAGTTTTACATAGGTATCGAACACCCAATTCGAAACTTCAATCGTCCAAACACGAGGCAATTGTACATATAAAGCAGACACATTTCCCGAAAATCTATACATTCCTCCCGAAAACTAACCCGGAAAGAATAAAAATTCAGCTAAACAACCAAGCATCGAGGCACAAATTCTACTGAAACAAATCTAACTGGAGCAAGAATTTCGAAACTAAAAACCAAGTACCAAACTTCCCACAACGAAAAGGCCACGGCCAAGAACTCAAACACATTAAAACGCGAGAACCCGAAACGCGAACATTACCAGAGAAGGAGTTTGGGGAAGAGAGGGAAGAAGGCGAGGAGGGTAAGAACGAGCAGCGAAGCAGAGGCGAGGGAGCCGCGGCCCTCGCGAAGCTCACGGAAGGAGGAGGGGCGCCGTCGTTCCTTCCCGAGCCCGTGAGGAAGGCGAGGGAGGCGCAGGGACCCCGAGCTCTGCTGCTCCCCAGAGAGAGCGGCGAGGAAGAAGACGAGAGGATCGCCGTGGACGCCATGAGAGAGAGAGAGAGAGAGAGAGAGAGAAAGGAGAGAGAGAGACTGTGTGTGGGGGTGGACACGACACTATCCTAAGTGAACGATGAATTGCAGAGGTAGAGAGAGAGAGAGATTGTCTTATCGGGTCAGTGGAATGCGGGGTGGGAAGTTTTGGCGGATAATCCGACCCGGTTGAGTTTCTGGGCTTGAGCTGAAGAGGATGTGGGCTTCTTTTTTTTTTTTTTTCTGTCTCCAACTGTCCAAGCCATTGGAGATTTAGGGTCGTCCCGACATTGGAGGTGGAGGTCTGGAGTTCGATTCCTTACGCTCCCTCTTGAGAGATTGTTTTATTGCCGGCCAACAGGCAAGGGTCGCAGCCCTCGCCTGGATCTGGACGAGGGCCCGACGCCCTCACCCGAACCAGGCGAGGGTCGTTGCTAGCCTAGGGCTAAAAAAAAGGAAAGGATAAAAGAAAAATAAAAAAAAATTCAGAAAAATTAAAAATTTGCTCACATTAACGCTAACCGTGCCATGTGAGATGGCTGACACTAACTAGACCACTACGTCAGCGACTAAAGTGGCAAATCATCAAAAGATTTAGGACTAAATTGGCATAATTAAAAGATTGAGGAGTGAATTGGAAAATCGTCAAAATGTTTAGGACCAAACTGGCCAAATTAAAATGCTTATGACTAAATTGGTATAAATGTAATAGGGTTATGACTTTTTTGGTAATTCTCCCCATAAAAAAGGATAGACGATCCACGTACACTTTCGAAACATATAGCCGTAGTTGGAATTGCTCATCAATATAAGAGAATCAATTTGTCCAAAAAAATAATCGATGAAAGAAACAAATGCACGTAAAATCTAACACGACATACAATTTACGTGAAGAAAATGCCCTATGATATAGTTTACTAAAGTGACGATTACATTAAAGTTTAAAGTTGACCTAAGTACGGGATATTTCAGTTAATTAAACTCAAATTTTTTTATTAACTCTTTGAATGTTGGACAGAGAAACGTGAGAGAGAGTAACCCTGTTCGATTTGCCAACATGGCTTGGCAGCCTCGGATAGTTCTTGTGGCTGCTAATCAGGTTGATCGCTATCCCTACGTAGGATTAATAGATAATGCACGTGACATATTACGACTTTTTTTTATATATTATTTCAATGGTATAAGCGTGCTGAACGTTTCATGTAGATCATTTCTGTCATCCTGATCCATATCAGTTATATATATTTGGCCACAGCCTTTTGGGAATTTGTTGTCTTAGTGTGTGCATGGAAATTTACTCGGGCGATCGATCCCAAACCTATTGTACGGAGACCAAATCAATCATAAACATTTAGATTTTGCCAATTCAGTCATTAACTTTTACACGAAATTTTAATATAATCATTCCGTTAATTGCTATTGGAAATTGTTGATGTGGTCCAGTCATCACTAACTGTCATACTTGGCACAACTTGCGATCTAACGAGTACGACTCTATCCAAAAACAATGTTGTTTTGCTTATTTTTGTCATTTTCGTACATTTTTCTCCTTTTCTTTTTATGTTTTCTTTCATTTACTTTTTCTTAAGGAAAATGACATAAATGGTCCCTGAACTTTGGTCCAATGTGAAATGTGGCCCCTGTTCAATGTAATCCCTGAACTTTTGGTATTTGTTCAATTTAGTCGTTAGATTATATGACAATATATATTCAATATTGTTCCTGATCTTGAATTAATGGAAAGGCAACATTGAACATTTTCATATAGTTCATGGACTATATTGAACATGTACTAGAAGTCCAAGGACCGCATTGAACAAATTAAAAGTTCAGGGATCATGTTGAACAAATTAAATTTTAGACATATTGCACATTGGGCTAAAGTTAGTGGATCATTTGTCTCATTATCCCTTTTTCTTAAGTTACTTTTCATCTTTTCTATTGAAGCCCTAGCTTCATCTTCTCATAGTGCGTTGTCTTCAGGAGATGATGCCACCACTAGTCACTGTTGTCGCCGCCATCACCAACAACTCGATGTGGTCCTCCACATTTTTTCAATGCACTTTTTCCACATCAAACACGGGCCATATCACGTAGGACGGCCGATTCTGATTGGATCTTTACGTGGCTGGAAGGAATAACTTGGGAAATCATCAAAATGTTTACGACTAAATTGGCCAAATTGAAAAATTTAGAACTAAATTGATAGTCGTACAATAAGTTTACGATTGATTGAATAATTTTCCCTAATGTGTGTGTTTTTCTTTAGTCTAACTATGGAACTAAACGATAGTTATTGAAAAAAGAATATTATCTCATCGGAATTCTAGAAGATATCTTATATGACAATACATTGAGATCCTCCTCATTTTACCCTCTTTAAATGGATAATATATCAACACAAGAGATTAGTGGCAGAAACCTAATTAAGCAGTAAAAAGGGCTGCAGTTAAAAGGGTTATGTTTTCTTTCATCTCTATTGAAGAACACTTTCACCGACCAAGCAACCTCTAATATTGATAAATGGTAAATATCCATATGCAAATCAAACTAAAAATAATAGCGAATGGAGTTTATATTTGTAGGTCAACAATCAGACAATCGATTGGAGGACCAGTCACAGGGTTAGTGGAGGTGATTGTCCCTGCTGTAGGCACTATATAGAACGTCATTCGAAAGTGTAATGCCATCGAATTTACACCTTATATTCGAAAACTTTCAAATAAGTTTTTTCTTTATCATCTTTAGAAATTAAGTTCCCTTTCACCACAGTGAAACACTGAAACTCCAACTTTTACCTGGGATTTTTCTTTTGTTTCTTTCAACCCAAGCTTGAATAGGTAGTGAAGCTTCTATAAATTGGCTTTATTATGTGAATTGATAAGTTAATGCCCTATGGATACTTCATATTGAAGATACCCGCCATAGACAAACCAAAGGAAAATTGGGATCCTCTAATTTCAAAAGTAATCGACTATACTACACTGAGATATTGTGATAAAGGATCATCTCAACAAGATGGAACCTTGTCCATCAGTTAATGCGAAATTTCTCGGGGGCTATGTTCACCTGTACTCGGAAATTTTCATGGTCACTTTCTTCTTCTTTTTTCAATGAGGATTTCATATTCCAATTAGGTCTCATAATATATGGTGGGAACGTTCTATGTGTTTGGTCTCTAATGCAAGAAGGTTCATGCATTTTGGAGTAGGGGTGAGCATGATGGACCGCCCGAACCGGGACCGGACCGGACCGGCTGGTTTGGTCCGGTTCTCGAGAGTATTGATCCGGTTCCAGATTCCTAAAAGTAGAATCGGTTTCGGGCGGTCCGGTTCCTGGTTCTAGGGTGGGAACCGAATCGATCGGACCGGACCAGACCGGACTGGACCGATAAATATTTATATTTATTTTTTTTGATCAGAAAATATAGATTTATAGATAAATATATATATTTGTTGCGTATTGGAAGGAGTTCCAATTGGGATAATTGTTCAATGTTCCTCTGATTATGTATCTAATTCACCTGCATCTAGTTCTATTAGGCTAAGTTCCGGCATCAACCTTTGATACTAGCTGTGAAAGCTTTACTACATAAAGTTTGAATTCATTCCAATAAGTGCTTGGTTCCATTGGAACCGGACCCGACCATTGGTCCGATCCGGTCCGTGGTCTCAAGACTAGACGGTCCGGTCCTCGGTCCTAGAAATTGAGAACCGGTCCTTCCGATCCGGTTCCCGGTTCTTGGGTGGGATTGGACCGGATTGGGAACCGCTCACCCTTATTTTGGAGTGTTTTAGAGAAAATATGGTTAAATTACTAGGCTCCGTTCGTTTAACGGAAAATGTTACGTTTCTGGAAAATGTTTTCCAGGAAGTCATTTCCTGGAAAATGGCATAATTTTCCGGTGTTTGACTGAAATATGAAAAAGTCTTAGAAAATATTTTCCGTTGTTCGGTATGAAATTTTTTTTCCCCGTTGCATTACTTTTAATAATTAATTTTTTTTTTATTTTTAAAAAATATTTTAAATTTTCCTTTTTTCTTTTCTTTCTTTTTCTTTTTTTTCCTTCTTCTTCTTCCTCAGACGGTGGCCGGCCAAGGTGGCGACCGGTGACCGGACATAGGGGAGCTCGAGCCTTGCCGCAGGTCGGCGAGGCTCAAGCTCGCCAGATTCAGGCCAAGTCGAGCCTTGCCGGCTTGTGGCGAGACTCGGTCTTGCCTGATCCGGCAAGGCCAAGCTCGCCCAAGGCTAGTTGGGTGAGCTCTGCCTCCTTGGATCAAGCGAGGCTCGAGCTCGCCTATAGCCGGTAGTCGACCGGAGAAGAAGAAAGAAAAAGAAAAAAAGGAAAAAGAACAAATACAAAATGATAATTAAAAAATAATAGTTGGTTTCTATGAACCGTAACTTATTCTTAGAGTCATCTTGAGTCAAGAGTCGATCTTTTTAGGAATCATGACACTAAAGTCCCTAAATTTTGATTCAATGTGTAATATTATCCTTATATTTTTAATTCATTCAATGTGGTATTTCAACTATTCTCAAATGTTCAATTTAGTCCCTCCCTCAACTTTCCATACAAAGTTAAATAAATTCTTTGGTACTATCCATAAGTTACCTAATTACACTATTATCCAGATTTTAGAAAATGTTTTCATTTCAATCATTATCCTGAATCACCAATACAGGGTTTCATTCCTAGAGTATAAAAAAACTAACCAAAATCCACCTTCTTAATTTGTGTGGTTAATGGATTGAAAGAACTTCTTTTTTTCTTTTTTCTTTTTTTTTTCTGTGGATGGTCTAAAAAGTTGGGAAACCTTCAAATAGTCATATGATAAATATGCTCATGCCTCACGTACATTCATCAACGTACGTCTTTATGATTACTCAAGATATGAATAAAAATTGGATAGAAATGTATAGAGGAAAACCAAGTGGTCCAGACTGGTGGCCATGAGCACGTCATTGAGTTCAAATGAAATGTACATGGACCAATGGACAGATGAAGTTTAGTAATAAAATCTGGATGAGCATTCGCTTAATGCTTAATATAACTAAGAGGATTAGGATTTGACATGTGATAGCAAGCACAAGTCGTATAAGCATTTAACAGCTCTTCGGTTGCCCATGTGCTAATTTTCATTATATGTAATCTCACATAACAAGTGTTTGCAATGATTGTGTCTTTGTAGGGAAGAAATGAACACAAACTTAAGTAATATCCATTTTCAGTACGACCCCAAAGATTAAAATAAAAAACCATGCAACTTGTATTCGAGCTTTGGACACTAAAGTAATATTTCCTTGAATAGATAAGACGCAGGTCAAAATTTGGATAGATGGACTATTTACCTAATAGATTACTCAAATCATTTTGTAAGAGAAGTCATTTAGACTATTCACAACTCTTTTCTTTTTTTTATGATGATGAGAAAGCTCAGTTTAAAGATAGTAAATCTCCGATCTATGAAATACTCTACTGACCTTATGGGTTAGATAAGACACGAGTCAAATTCTGGATAGGTGGCATAAATAAGTATTCACAATTTTGATCTGTTAAGTGCTTCAGTCTGTAATAATTTAAGAAATTTGAAGAAATTATACTAAATACTTAAGGTCAAAGCTATCCGAAATACTACATAGCTATCTCAAGCATCCCATCCCTATATATAAGCAATGCCAATGCTAATCCCAAGTATAGCAAGTTTAATGTATGAGCAAGACTATGGATGATATAGCAAAAAGTTTAGCTCAAGGATATTTCAAGGATGAGATACCCCGGAAATGGAGGCTCCTAAGTGGAGAAAACAATTGGGAGGGTTTGCTAGATCCTCTCGGTATCGATCTCCGTCGTGTCATCATTCACTACGGCGAGATGGCTCAGGCCACATACGACGCATTCGACACAGAGAAGGCGTCGAGATTTGCCGGGAGTAGCCGATATGCAAAGAGAGATTTCTTCTCTAAGGTCGGCCTCAACGAGGGAAACCCATTTAAGTACTCCGTGACCAAATTCTTGTACGCGACCTCAGAAATTCATGTCCCCGATGCTTTTCTTATCAAGCCTCTGTCGCGAGAGGCTTGGAGGAAGGAGTCGAATTGGATGGGGTATGTCGCTGTGGCCACTGACGAAGGGAAGGCTGTGTTGGGTCGGAGGGACATTGTCGCGGCTTGGCGAGGGACGAAGCAAACGTTGGAGTGGATTGATGATTTCGAGTTCAGTTTGGTTTCGGCTTCGGACATACTTGGTAAGGCTAATAATCCTAAGGTGCACCACGGTTGGTACTCAATCTACACTTCTAGCGATCCACGTTCGCCGTTCAGCAAGAAGAGTGCCAGACATCAGGTTAGCTTTTTTACTTCCCAATTCCTTTGGAGTTCAATTAAAACTTTTAAAGGGAACTACAATAAGGGTAGAAAAGTTTTAGTATACCTAGAGCATTACTCTCATATTAATATCTGACGAGGATATCATCTCCCTTTATATGTAGGTTCTTGAAGAAATACGGAGACTCGTCGACTTGTACAAAAATGAAGAAATCAGCATCACAGTCACCGGGCACAGCTTGGGAGCTGCAATTGCAACCCTGAATGCGGTTGATATCGCCGCGAATGCTTTTAACAAGCCTACAGGTCACCGAACTAACGGTTGTCCGGTCACAGCCATTGTGTTTGCGAGCCCTAGAGTAGGAGATTCAAACTTCAGGAAGGTGTTTTCTGAGCTTGCTGATGTTCGAGCTTTGCGCGTCCGGGATGCCTTAGATGTCGTCCCGAACTATCCATTGCTAGGCTATTCAGATGTTGGGGAAGAGCTAGCGATCGATTCTCGCAAATCTAAGTACTTAAAGAGTCCTGGAAATGTCTCAAGTTGGCATAATCTTGAAGTTTATCTACATTGTGTAGCAGGAACACAAGGGACTCATGGAGGCTTTAAGCTAATGGTTAATCGCGATATCGCACTTATAAACAAAGCCATAGATGCTTTAAAAGATGAATATCTTGTGCCAGCTTCATGGTGGTGTCCGAAGAATAAGGGCATGGTTCAACAAGGGGATGGCTCTTGGAAGTTAATGGAGCATGAAGACGATGACCCTGATAATTGAACAGTCTCGATTCTATTTCTAGAAAAACTATGTACATAAATAAAATTCAAAAACTATTGTAAAATATGTGTGGCCAAACAAAAGCAGTCTATTTCATTGATGAATAAATGTAATAAATGTATCCTTGCATCTCTAGCCCCGGCAAGGCAATTTGTATTTCACTTTCTCAATCTATGATTCCATCAATACACAGTGTTTTCCTTTGAAAAGTTACGGCAGTTGACATTTGCATATCGTGAACTGTTAAGAGGAATTTATTCTTGGCGCAAGATGATTGCATTTGGTCCTTTCTTTTTCATTCAATGAGGACTTCATCTAACTTCTTGTGAAGCTTTTGGATCATAAGATTCAACTAACCAACCATCTTATATAATTTTCTGCAGTATTTTCAGTTGTGAAAATAGGTGTTATAGCCTTTGTAAAGAGTGTGGTAAATATTTCATAATTGCAGCAGCTCCAAAGCTGCATCAACTTGTGGCAGTTTTTAAGAAGTTACCGTGCAAACACATTAGTTACAACAGTTCACAGCATGTCGCGACCTTCCCGGAGGTGAAACACCAGGGAAAGGCTAACGGACTTACTAAACGAGAATGAAGGTTTCTCTCATGAGGCAATCGTTCAAGTTTAGTGCGGACTCTCCCAAGCCTATCCGACCGCAGCTTGGTACTCAATCCATCATGTAATTAATATTACCTTTTGGAGTCGCCACTAATCTATTATGGGTCGATTAGACACCCAAGTAAAATACTACTTCCACAAACTAGAGATTCAAGGGATTCGGGGACTCGGTACCTTTTCTCTTCATTTCGAAAAAATGTTTTACAGATCAAAGAATTATGTCCAGATAATATTAAGGGTTTGACCTTAGAGTCTAAAGGTCCAAACACCCTAATATATCTTGGTTAATGCAAAGAAAATATATAACTAGAAAAGCTAAGGTTTTATTGACTAAATGACATGTAGTTAAAATCATGTATTGACAATCCACAAATTTAAACCGATCTCATCCTCACCTTGGTTTGAGCTAATCGCAAGAAATTGATAGTGAACCGCGGAAAGCAACCGAAGGTATGCAACAACAATGAACAGCAACGAACGGCAACAAACAATAGCAAATAGCAGAAGCGAACAGCAGCAAACAACGGCAACACTGGTGCAACGGCATCTGCGAACGACGAACGGCAATGATGAACAACAAACAACGACGAGCAGTAGCAACGCAGCAAACGGCAGCGAACAACGACGATGAGTAGCAGCAACAATAATGGCGAACAGCGGCAGCGAGGATGTAGCAGCAGCGAACAGCAGCAAACAACAACGAACAGCAACGACACAGTAGCGAACAATGACGAACAACAGTAGACAACAGCAAGCAGCAGCGACGAGCAAGAGTGAGCAGCAGCGAACGAGCAAGAGCAAGCAGCAGCGACGAGCAACAGCGAACAGCAGCGACGAGCAACAACGAGCAGCAGCGACGAGCAACAACGAGCAGCAGCGACGAGCAACAACGAGCAGCAGCGACGAGCAACAACGAGCAGCAGCGACGAGCAACAGCGAGCAGCAGCAACGCAGCAGTAAACTGCAGCAAACAGCAGTGACACAGGATCGAGAATAGCAAGAGCAACACAACTAGGCTCACTAGAACAAAGGAATTTGCTGCAAATTATCGAGAAGAAGGATGTGGTGGAACCATAGCCATAGAAAATAACTCTCTTGTTTCTCTCATATTTTTAAACTCTCTTTATTTCGAGCTCTACTTCATGTTCTGCAATGGCTCAACTAGCCCCCTTTTTATAGCAAAAGACCTCCATTTATCATTGGAAACTTTGAACCCGTGCTCCTATGATCGTGGAGATTGTCGAATTTTAAACTTGATTTGTCACCGTGAATTAGTGCTCCAAATCTTGCCTCTCGTCGAAATCTTCAGGTGACCTTTCGGCTCCCACTCACATTGCCTTGAACGTGTCCACATTCACTCGTCATTATTTACGATTTCACAACCAGCATTATCTCCTTGATTTCCTCTCTGCTCAATCTTTCCATTCGGCTTTTCTTGAGTGTTAATTCTTTCCATATTGCTAGACAAATCCCATTGATTCCTATCACGATTTCGATTCTCCAGAATATGTCTTGCCAAAAAGAATTTCGTGAAATTTGGAGGTCCTCACGAAAGAATAGGGATTTGGTTCATTCTTATCACTTCAAGCTCCTAATCTTTCCATGACCAATTCTTTGACTGAGGTGTCCAATTCACGGAAAATATCCCACCAATTCCTTTATTTAGCTGATCGAAATTTCCTAGATTGATTGGTCTCCTTGTCCCAATTGAAATTTGACCCAGTCAGCCCATAGTTTCCTCTTTGTTCCGCGCAAAAATCTTGCAATGGTCAAGCTTCTTGATCCCTTCATGTTGATTGAATATGCACAAGCTTTTCTTTCTCTTTTCTTGGTTCCTAATCAGAATTGTTTCCTTTTTTCTCTCATTCACCATTCATGGCCAGCCATAATCACCGCATGCAATCTTATTTAGGCAAAAGGGAAATATTAGGCCGATTACAATGCAATCCCCAATCGAGCCAATGCCATTCACGACCGGACCCACTTGAGTGCTATGAAGGTGTTACTAATGCCTATAATGAAAATATGAACTAATGTTAAGGAGGTTGCTAAAATTTAGGTGTCAACACAGCACAGTTACAATATAGCCATAGATTCTTCTGCCATAGTTGTACCAAACACGCTCTACGATTGATAGCGGTACACAATCAATTCAACATAAGCTAAGTCATATCTTGTGATTGAAGAATTTTACATAGAAATATGATTTTTTATCCATATATATGGGATATTCTTGCTTGGACCCGGATCTAGGATTAGGTGAAATCAAAACAACTGAATCTTGTATTTACATGGGACTCACAGGATCAAGACTGAGATTAATCCATTTCATGATGGATTGGGTCGAAGGCAAGTACTTGCATATGGAGACCAATATAACAACAATATTACTTTTTGAAGCTAAATATTATAGATTCAAAATGAAGCATAAAACATTCTCATATGTCATCATAACCAAGTACAAAAGTATGGTAACATGTCGGAATGCATTTTACGTGTAATGTCAATAATAAAATTAGGATAGGAGTGGTGGAGATGTGAAGCCACCAGAAATCAACCCTTTGGCGATGTGATGATAAGCAGACTCGGTGAAGTGAATCCCATCCCAATCTGCGAAAGCCGAGGGATCTTTGCAAGGAGTTGCGCCGGTCTGACCACATACTGCTGTCGTATTGAAGTTGTGTGGACCACCTCCTCCACAACAAGCCCTTGGTGTCCCTCCATAGAAGCCTGCTTGAATGTACTCATTCATGACAAGACTTTTGAACAAATTATGCAACTATATGTTTGTTCATGTCAATGACATCAACCAAACTGTCCTAATCTTATGTATGTCATTTGGTGTATTTCCTGAAATCAAAGAGATACTAGGGTTTTTTCTTTCTGGAAGGAGCACGGAGAATTTCAAATAGATATGTGGAAAATTGTCCAAAAAGTTCTAAATCTATTGCACTTTTATCAATTCAGTCATAAACCTTTTAATTTTGCCAATTGAGTCTTACTTTTCATATTTTGCCAATTGAGTTCATCCGGCCAATTTTGGTTGGAAATCGCTGACTTGAACGCCGGTTGTCCTACATGGCACAAAGGGAAAAAGGGACAAAGAAAAAAGAAAGAAAAGAAAAAAAAGAGAAAAGGGAATAAATAAATAAATAATTTAAAATTTATTAAAAATTGTTAACGTCAGGGCCGGCTGTCTGGCCGTGCTACATAAGACGGCTAGCGTTTACGTCAGCGATTTCTGGCCAAAATTGACCGGATTAACTCAATTGGCAAAATGTGAAAATGTGTAGGACTGAATTGACAAAAGTGCAATAAGTTTAGGACTTTTTGGACAATTTTTCCAATATATATGTCTTCTTTTAATTTTCGACTTTTTAGTTTAGGAGCCAAAAGATCGGGTACTTGTTAACGAGCTCCCATGACACTCGATATAGCTGATAAAGAATGTCTAGATAATAAAAATTGCGACATTTTTTTTTTCATTTGGTCGCTTGTCAGCTGTCTTGGACAATCATTAACGACATCAGCATACAAAATGGAGCCAGAAAGCAAGTGATTAGGCAAGCTGCCACCCACTTCTTAGCATAAAGACAACGCAGTTTTGGCACTTTATTGACCTTTATTGCCAAATGCCTAGACATGAAGAGATCTCCCACCTAACTCTAAATGAGAGAGATTAATTAAGGACTTCAAAATTCTCAATGCGACAAATTGAATGGAAAGTTCAACCGGTTTTAGAGCATCATAATTAGCAACATTGCATTCGTCCATCCACTTTTCCACCCTTAATTGCTCTTCGTGATTATTACAAAGTCATCTTTATAGTGAGGGACCTCGATTTTATTTAAAAATAAACCTGTAGTTATACCAATGGTTATGGATGTGCTACGTGGAAAATAAGAGTCATAATTGGTTCAAGCAAAAGTCATGTGTTGACAATGAAATTTGAGAGGAAAAAAGATTCGTGAAAAGAAGCCTCACCGTAGTGTTTTGGAGATCGGTAGATAGACATGGCAACACCATAATAATCAGCGTACATGATTCTTGCATGAGGGTATTGTTGTCTCAAATTTTCCAATTTTTGCTTGAGGTAGTTATTGTGATACTTGAAGAAGGCATTATAAGCCTTGAGACACCCGGTTCTTTTGTCATACGCCGATTCATTAGTGCTCTGAAACACAGTTAGAAACATGGAGGTGCAGCCTACCGGCAACTGTCCCGACACCATTAGATCCACGGCCCCTTCTTCTATTAGCACCTGTTATGGTTATGATGATTCGAGGAAAAAAAGTAAAAAGGGAAACTTGATAATAGTGAGAAATGGAAAAAAAATAAAAATAAGAAAGCAATCTCGAGACAAATCATGTGAATCTTTTTGTATGCATACGTAAATCACTTTTGGGTACCACTTGATGCACCATGAGTATCAACAGACTTCTCTGATAGTTTTATTTTTTCCTTTTACACAACTTATGTACAACATTAAAAAGTGAACCTTCATTTATTTCTCATTTTCAAATTAAACGTGCTCATACTAAAGTGACACTTCATTTTAGTTACCAAAATTGAACATTAAGCTCATGGCTAAGAAAAACGTTTTTCTAATATGTGCGTATAGATGAAACGTAATGATTCAAAGAGATCCTCAATGTGATTATGTGAATTTAACGTTAAGCTCGTGCCGATGAAATACTTCTCTATAGGCCTTTATATAGAACTGTTTGCTTTATGTGGTGATGACAAAATAAGCCCAAGCTTGTGTCATTGCTCCACCAATAGACATAATTTAGATTGCTTTCGTATGGAATGCTTTGTGAAAAATCGAAGCAAGTTTAACTTACACTGATGGCACGAGTGATTGCTCCAACGACGAGTGGTACAAAAGCACGCAGCTGTTTAATGCTTCGACCGGAGAGTAAGGAAAACATGTAGTCATTTTCACCTATCTCCCCAATCATAAACAGTGATTTCTTGAAGTGCTCATCACATGCTGCACCCAAAAATTTAAGAAATTATGAAAATGTTTCATAAAGGTTATATTAAGCACATGTTTCATAGAAGACAGTGCCACCTATTTCCGAGGAAAATTGTCCAAAAAGTTTTAAACTTATTGCACTTTTGGTCAATTCAGTTGTAAATCTTTTAATTGTGCTAATTGAATCATAAACCTTTTCATGTTTTGACAATTGAGTATATCCTGTCACTTTTGGCCAAAAATCATTTATGTGAATGCCAATCATCCTACATGGTGCCACCGGCATTGACGTTGACAATTTTCGTAAAATATTTCAATATTTTTTGAATTTTTTTATTTATACTTTCTTTTCTTTCTTTCTCTATTTTTTTTCCACCCTTCTTCCCTTGACCGGCTGGAGGCGAGGGCTGGCGAGGTCAACCTATCCGGCCTCTAGTGAAGCTCACCCCCGCCGGCCACTGGCGACGCTCGACCTTGCCATCGCTAGGCGAGGGAGAACCCACCAACGGCAAGGTCGGCCTTAATAGGGGCGAATGAGGCTCGCCCTCGCCAGTGGCTGGCGGGGGCGAGCTTTGCCAAAGGCCGTTGAGGTCAATCTCGCCAATCCTTGCCTCTGGCTGGTTGTCGAGCGGTGACCAACTAGGGGAAGAAGGACAGAAAAAAAAAAAAAGAAAAAGAAAGAAAGAAAAAATAAATACATAAAAAATAAAAAATTCGAAAAATATTAAACAAAGGTACCACTGGTTGGTGAATTTTGCAAAATATTCAATCGGGACCATTAGGTTCTTTTCCATTAGGCCCTCTAGTCTTGTAGCTCGAATTGGTCCATGACATCAAAAAATGTTTAGAATTGCTGACGTGGACGGCCACTAGGGTCCGACCGGACCAAAAGTGATGATGTGGAATAAAATCAAGAAAAGGAAAAAAAAGCTACTATCGATCATAAAAATCAAGGAATCAGTTATGCCTTCACCCCTTTTCTTGAAAAAAAAAAGGCAGAAATTTACCTTGTTTTGTGGTACAGAGAGACTTCTTCAAATTCTTGAACCAGCCAAGCTGAACACTCAACGAGTCATTGGTCCACAACTGTTGCCCAATCTTCTGAGCATAGAAGTAAGACGGGTCGACTGCTGTGGCACCAGTAACTGCGAAGTTCACTCCCGTACGAACACGAGCACCTTTGGCAACTGCTAGATATGGTGGAAGATACGGCAGTCCAAATGCTTCAGCTGCATTCGATCAAGTAATATAAGCAATGAGTTTTATAAAAATATTTTTCAAATCATTTATGTTTTATGAAATAAACGAAGTCTTAGGTTGTTCCTACTTTCAAATAACCTGTTCCTATCTTAAAAGCTCTTGAAATAATGATTCAATAGGGTTTGCCTCGTGAAAATGACGAAACTGTTTTCATATGAAATAGCATTGTAGTTATGGGCTATTGGGTCATTAGTAAAATCGCTTTTTTTCCGTAAAAACTTAACCTATTAAGAATGGATCACAATGCATTTATAGCATATGACTTCATATGAGAGATCGAAAAAGGTAGAGAAGAAATTACAGAGGTAGTACGGAATACCTATGAAATCGACAATGAGACGTCCATTCGAGCATCGACCGGTCGGGCGGCGGAAGAAAGTCTCGCCGTAAGGGAGGCTTTTGATGACCAGAAATGCGGTTGCATCAGTACGAGGGTAGTTTCCGGTGTCGCTATGAGAGTCACCCAAGTTGAAGATTGCATCGTAGCGACTGTGGCTCGACAAAGCGGACCTCAAAGAGAGGCAACAGAAAAAGAAGACTAGTATCTTCATGGCTTTCATGTCGAGCAATACTGGAAAGTTTCACTGGAGGAACAGTCTGCTTACGGTTGAGCTTGAGCCCCCGTGGGAATTTGGCCAGGAGAAGCATCAACTGCTCGCTTGCAGTTTCAACAAGGAAGGGCACCCTTTTATCAAATTGGGCGAAGCCCTCATCCAATCCTATGATGAGTCACAAGGGTACGGCAACTCTGCTTATTTTGTCCAAATCTTAAGGACTATTCGCAACTTCGGTGGCAAATCGTGCACATATCGTGTTGGCAAAGTGGGTTGATTTGCCACCCTGACGTAAAACAGGAGAAATCTGTCATCTTGCGTAAAAACAATTTCTCGAAAGTGACGTTGGGGCTAACATGAATTGTTTAGAGTTTCAAGATAAACAATCGTGTGTAACCCTTTTGAGAAGAAGGATGACCAATAACTCTTCTCGGCGAAGCGCACTTATCAGATGCGTGCTTGACATTGACGGGGCGCCTAAAACATGAACAACTAAGAATATGCAAATGGGTATGAAAGGGCGTTATATTAAACAAATGGCGATGTTTAACAACCACATTTTGTTGGGGTGTGTCGGTTCATGAGTGCTAATGATTACACCAAGAAAGCTGAAAATTCCTTGGTGTTGAACCATTATCGTATGTACTTGTTCACTAATAATGTTGATCAAGTTACGTCTTTGTCATTACTCAAGATATGATTAAAAATTGAATTCAAATCTATAGAGCAAAACCAAGTGGTCTCGATGGGCGGCCAACAGAACGTCATTGAGTTCAAATGTATAATAATTAAGACCAATGAACTAAGTTTACTAATGACTATTAGCTTAATGCTTATAACTAAGAGGATCAGGATGTGATATGCGATGGCAAGCACAAGCCGTATAAGCATGTAACAGCTCTTCAGTTGCCTATGTGGTAATTTTTATTATAACAATTGTTTGGAATGATTGTGTCTTTTTAGGGAAGAAATGAACACAAAAAAAAAGAACATATTTTTTTGGTAAAAAAAAATACGCATTAATCTTATGGATTAGATAAGATGCAAATCAAAGTCTGAATAGTGGACTCAAAAAATTATTCACAATTTTGATCTGTTGGATGCTTCAGTTGGTAGTAATTTAAGGAATTTGAAGAAATTTATCTTCCAAATGCGATTGTTACTTGGGGACAGAGTTTAGTATACTTACGTCGCCTTTCTTTAATCAGAACAAGAAATACTTCAAGGTGAAAGTTATCCGATTTACTACGTAGCTATCTCAAGCATCCAATCGCTGTACATAAGGAATGAAATTGCTGGTAAAGAAAGATTATTGTATGAGCAAAACTATGGATTCAACAGCAAGCAGTTTATCTCAAGGATATTTCAAGGATGAGATAGCCCGAAAATGGAGGCTCTTAAGTGGAGAAAATAATTGGCGTGACATTCTGAAATCTGACTCACTTGGGATTTATGAAATGAGTAGTTTATGCACGTGCTTGTAGTTAAATCTCGCCCGGAATTGATCACTTCGGGAATACTAACCGTTAGGGAAAGGCTAATTAGGGATTTAAATTCGCGCGACCAAAGAACTCGATCGTGAACCGACTTTCGACCATGAAAATTGTCGAGGTGACATTTTGAGCCACTGTAGGCCGATCCAAGGATAGCCAGGGATCAGTTCGCCGCTGTCATATTAGTGGATCGCGGGTGATTTCGTTTGACCACGAAATGAATCAACGAATGACCCCGAACCTATACCGACTGATCGTGCCCGTCGGATCTAGCGATCGATCCCCGCGATTAAGTGACAACCGAGGTCGTCATGACCCGAGTGAACTTGTACGTGGCATGATTCAGTATCGGCCACGGGTCAATAATGCGAACTTCCCCAAAAGCCGCCAGTTAGTATGAGATATACACAAGTCACGTTGTTAAGAACTTAGTCATTAAATTAGAGACCGAGTTGGGCGTTGGAAATTCAGAAAGTCACGACAGATCACTAGGACGATGTTGTCATTTGCCCGGGTAGCCTTGGATTTGCTCGAATCCTTCAGAAAAATTTAATTTCGGTGAGAAATGACAAATGACCATTTTACCCCTGGAGATTTTTTAAGGCCAATGCAATTTGGGAGGGGCATTTTGGTAATTTTACCTAGCCTTAGAATTAGAGAATTTTGGACAATTTTGCCCTTGGACTTTTTGAGAAATTCCCAAATTGCCCTTGGATATTTTGGAAAAGATTCGATCCGGGCCGTCGATCTCAGGATAAGAATGAATCTCGGCCGTTGATTGGATTTGTGAGAGAGGGGCATGATGGTCATTTGGCCCCTCAATTATTGGCCTTGACTATTTAGACCAAAATCCTCTCTCTCTCTCTTCATTCTCTCTCTCTCTATCTCTCGGCTCCCTCCTCTCCCCTCACCGAACCGACCGCCCTCCCCCTTGGCCGCGCCACCGACGCTCGCTGGCCGTCCGCCCGCAATGCCACCGTCGTCCCGCCACCGAGCCACCAGCACCCTCACGCCGATGTCCATCTCTCTCACCCTCTCTCATGGTCGTGAACCGTGGCAAGGAAGCCGCCGCTCGCCGCCCGCCGTCCAGCCAATCGCCGAGCCGCTCGCCGCCGCCGCGTGCCGCCGCTTGCCGCCGATCAGCCGCCCCCTTTCCCGCTCTAGCCGAGTCAGTCTAGAGTTCGAGTAAGTCGCCCTCTAAACTGTATTTAGGATGTCGGGTATCGATAGACGCGATTAAGGGTGGAATCGGATTTAATTAGACGCGATTTTGGTTAAATTAGGGGCTGTTTTGGAATAATTTAGCGGACCGGTTTGAGGGCTGGTATTAACTGATTTTAGATGGTGAAATGAGGATGTTTAGAGGCTGAGATGGTGCCGGATGAAATGCTGGAAATTGGGACGCGTAGTGACAAGTATTTGGCTCGATTTGAGGACAAATGGTGTCGGTTTGGTGCGCGGTATGGCGGCTGGAATGTGAGGTTCGTTATGGCTTGAATTGAGTGAGGAAATGCCGAAATTGTGATCATTATGTGGCTGTGATTGTGGGCCCGTTAGTGGCCTTGTGTGTTTATTGAAATGCGTGTTGGTTGATTTAAATGTGGGCCATTATGTGCACGCTTAGACCGAATTGAATTAATTGTCAATTGGCCGTGTCGGATGCTTAATGAGCATGAGAAATGTGTGTGAATTGGTGCGTGCACGGGCCACGCGTGATTGGCCAATTTATTGGCAAATGGGTGTTGAGCATGTGAACGAATGAGAAATCGTGCGTGACATGGTATGTGTGGTTGTGGAAATCCCTGAGGCGATATCATTACTCGGGGTATTGATCCGTCCTGAGGCGGTACCATTACGCGGGACGATGCCCGGTATTACCGGAGGACGGCCAACTTGAGGTGGTACCATTACGCGGGCCTTGAAGTGTTGTTATTATGAGTTAGTTGCAGTGTACCTGAGGCGGTATCATTATGCGGGTCACTGGCGAGTCGAGTGGAAAAATGAGATAGTCGCAGTGAACTTGAGGCGGTACTACTACGCGGGTCACTGGTGAAGCGAGTGTGAGATGGTCGCAGTGAACCTGAGGCGGTACCATTACGCGGGTTACTAGCGAGTTGTGTGGAAATAACGTGATGAGGCAGGAACGAACGCGTGAAATGTGATTAGAATGTGCATGTGATTGGAAATTATACTACTGTGGCTAACGTGCAGGTTGCATGCTGGAAAGGCCCAGGTAAGTATGAATTGTATGCCTGCTATGTCGTGGCTGAGTGTGGTTGTGGTTGTAATTGTCTGGAGGTACGTGATAGCCTAGATGGGGTTTAGGGGGTGTACTTATTGAGATGTAATCTCACGGTTGTTTTAACCAAAAATTTCAGAACCCCAGCCTGAGCAATGAATCTCCCGCCGCCACCACCTGAGCGTTTTGGAGTACCGATGCACACCGACCACGACGTTATAGAGTACCATATAGATGATCATATGACCTTGATCAAGCATACCACGGTAGTCTGGGTAGACGTAGGATTACCCCTTTGGCAGGCCCACACCTATACTGCTTGGTTCTTTCGAGATGGGGTAGATGAGTTTGGCCCCGTCCGTGGATTTGACGTCCCCTTTGATGGAGTTAGGGATTGGGACCCATCTGCCATACCTCCTCCCGATGGTGAGATGTCGAGTCTAGAGACTAAATTTCACGCACACCGGACTCAAAGAAGCGCCTCGGACTCGAGCCTTCGGGGGCCGAGCATGAACTGAGCTCCGAAGAATCGCAGGCGGGATATGATCCGATGGACGTGGACCTCGAGGTAATACTCGAAGAAGAAGAACCAGAAGAGGAAAAACCCGAGGCAGAACCTGAAGAGGCCCCAGAAGATGAGCCCGAGGATGAGCCTGAAGAAGAACCGGTGCATATACTCGCGTATGAGCAATGGCTCGACCCCGAGTTTGTGCCAGAGGATGAGTCCGATGAGGAGCCAGTCGAGGAGCGGGTCGAAGTTCCAGCGGAGTCGGGTGACATAAACAACCCGATCGAGATCGAGGCCGAGCCGGAGTCCTTAGAGGAGCAGACAGTTCAAGGGAATTCAGATTCAGATGATGAGGAGTCAGATTCTGAGTGGACACCAAGCAGAGGGCGTAGGGGCTAGGTTTAGGGGTTGGGAATATGCTTTTTGATGTGTACCATTTTTGGTGATAGGATACCCAGGCTATCGATCCGTTTTTATGTCGGTGGTTAATAGTGTAGAAGTTCGGTGTGCTTGTTTATATGGTGGTTTGTAAATTTTGAATATTATATAAGTTTGGATGAACAATAAATATGTTTATTCTCCCTGTTTACCCCAGTTATAATTGTCCGGGTATTGGTGGCTTTCGCTGATCGTTTTAAAATCTCTGATAAGTTTAATTGGGTCGGCGATACCCTGGGACATCGCATTATTCCACCAGAGAAGTGTGTTGCGTGCTCGATGGGGTTCGGGGCGTGACATCACGGTTTGGTTTGGTATCAGAGCGAGGACAGCTCGATCTAAACTGGTCGAAGTCTGGAGTGATAAGGAGCAGAGACCCTGGGGTAGTAATTTAGGGAGACCTTAGCGAGTTAGGAGGTGGAATAAGCTACACGTGCCTCCAGATTGTTTGTTGTGGTTATTGAGTGAATTGATTGTTGTGACGATTGAAATGCAGGTGCGTCTGAACCTGAGGTAAGTGCACAGACCTTACTGATTGTGGCCTTGTGCTGTAGTGATTGATTTCCTGCTGAGAGGATTATTGTGTTAATTCACTACCTAGGACTAGACTGGTATAGTTGGCCTAGGTTTTTAATTCCTAAGTGGAATTATAGCAGGTAGTCGAGTGGTAGAAATCGTGAGATGAGTACGCGAGGTAGAGGAACTGGGGGCCCGTCCAGCTCGCGAGCTAGAGCTCGACC